TACTAGATGCTTGGCCCGGACCCCGTCCGGGCGCCTTTAATATTACATTCATATTAATTAAAAAATAATATTGTAGAACCTGACTATTATAATGTTTAGGCATCGAAAAAAATATGATGGTATGCACATGGTCTATGAATGTATCCGAATTCGAAATTCATATATACATACTTGCCCGAGCGAAGGCCTGAGCGACTCTTATAATTTTAAATTGGTTAGATGAAAAAACAAATGATTCATAAAAAGAATAATATATTACTCCCTCTGTCCCAAAATTTTTGTTTAGTTTGAGATTTCACTTTTAGTGTAATTTGAATTAGAAATGAAACACAAACTGGACAATAATTATGGGACGGAGGGAGTATATTTTTATAATATGAATAGTAACATAAAATCGATGGGTAAGCCTTCACTGCCTTCACAATTGAAGGATCTGCGCATACAAAATGTTCAAACTTTAAACTTAATAGATCAAAAAACAGAAAGCAATAACTGTGTTGGAAGCACTTTTTTTTCTTCACTCCATTCGTAATACTTTTCGGTTTTCACCAAAACTAAAGATCCACAACTGAATAGAATGCACTTGGTATTGTCACTTTGAAGCCACTTTTGATCCATAGTAAAACTACTTAAAAAAATCGCATGTTGAAAGCTCCTCAACAACATCTTTTACCATTTATTTTTCTTTAGAACTTCCAACAGAAACTCTCCTATGATGTCTCTTCGATTGATTTCTCTAGCTTCACAATTAGCAACCTATCTCCCATGCAACTTCAAGTTTGAAAGTTAATGCAATACCTTAAAAAAAGTACTTTGATGAAGAAAGGTCAGCTTCTTCGTCTTCCCTAAGGTCAGCTTCTTGGTTGTTTTCAAACCATCAAACCATATCATGCAACACATTCACTGTCATCAATCACAATAATGTGGATTAATCTTTCAAAACTTAGTCACTTAAATGTGTCTCAGTTGAAAAATAGAACCTAAAAATACACACTAAAACTACATAGATTTAATTTCTCATATGAAATAAAATGTAGAAGTAAAGAATAGAGAGAGAGAGAGAGAGAGAGAGAGAGAGAGAGAGAGAGAAAAGTGGTGTCAATTACCATAAACGGCTCCATTAAGATCAAAACATGAAAGACCAACGATGATTATAATTCTTGGTTTCGCTTCTCCGATTCTCAGCTACGTGCGGGAGCTGTTTCCTGAAAAACACCCGTGCAATGTAATTCAAGGTAAGAACTGAACTTGTCTATTTTTTAGCAAAAACTTAACACTCATTTCTTATGAACAATGAATTTAAACTCATTACTTCATTAGTAAACAAACTACACGAATTTGTAAACTAACAATATCGCACACCACATATACACTTTTCTAATAAAAACAACAGTATCGGTAACATATTCCATAATTTACACTATAGAGCTTAAAAATAATAGCACATGAGCTGAAAAATAAAAGCACTTGTTTTCCATTTTACTTCAAAGCAGAATAATTTATAAAAGGAATTATTGAAAGTTAAAAGTTAGGCAGTTCTATGCATCGTTAATACACGTTTCATATCATCACAAAGATGATTAATCAAATTCTTCATACGACATCTCTTCTCATTTGTTCTGATCAAAGGAAATGTTTTAATCCATTTTATCTGTCCAAATTTTCTATTTTACTTTGACTACTTCAACTCTTGCATATTATAGAGAAGAAGATAAACCATAATTCTACTTCGCAGTATCAAACACTGAATAACACAAAGCCTATAACTTGAAAAAAATACTTGATCAAGACAATAATAAATTAGATAGAAGAACTAAACTCACCATTTTTTGGGATGTAGTAGTTTAAAATACACTATCGACCGAGATTTTACTGTCGATCCATGTTCTTTGAGGACAAAGGAATAGCTATCTTTACCCTGCAGAATACATAACAAAGAAAAATGGCAATCCAAGAAGACACAAAATGTGTCCATAATTTGTCTATTGTTGTTGAAAAACTTTTAAAAAAAATGAAAATGGAATGAGAATGATACTCGAAGTTGCCACCGAAAGGAACGAACTTACTGAACCGCTTTGAAATCTTTCTTCTCTTCACCAGCAGGGTTGAGAACGAAAAATTCCAGAAATGCAGCTGATTCTCTTAAATCCATTGATCAAATCTGAGCAACGTATATTAGCAAATTCAAGAAAATACCTTAATCTTAGATAGACAATAGGAAGGGCTGTGTTCTGCTTGTGAACCCACCTTCTCTGATGCAATTGATTGCTTTTTGAGAATGATAATGGGGAAATATCCGCTAAAATCAACCTGTAATTAAATCCAGGGATGTAAGCTTACAGCGAAGAAATCCGGAGAAGAACTAAATGGAGTCAATATATCCCCCTTCCTAGTGGAAAACCCCATGAAAGTGATCGGGAAATATAGACGAAATTATTGTCGCTTTCTTGTCGTTGTAGTGGGAATTGTCCTAATATCAATGGATGCTTAAATAACAATGAAAAAATAGAAAAGAAATGAAAGCTTTCTTTGTCTCATTCTATCACATCAGCAGTTCAATTAGATACAGCTCTGAAGGCAGGCATTTTAGCCAAAGATTTTCAAATGTATTTGTCTGGATGGCTGCGGGAAAGGGGAAATAATCGAACCCAAATAAAAATCAATTCTTGGGAGCCATTGACATTGTTCTGGCAGCATCAAAAGTTCTAAAACGATTCCAATACCAACCCTTTTGTTCGGAATCAAAAACTCATCATTTTAATCAAAATTCAATACCAAACATGTCACAAAAATGTAGGAAACGAACACTTCAGAAAAAAACAATTATTGACATAAGAGGAACACCAAAATTCATACCAAAACCTGGAAGAATCAAAACAGAAATTGAGGAGATATAAACGGTAAAACCCGAACCTGATTGAAAAGCTAAGCAATAATCCATAGAGCTTCCCATTCCATTCAAAAACTGGAAGTATTTCTATGCTAAATCTGCAAACTTGGACCAATTCCAATTGGCCAAAGTTGATGAAAGCTTAAATCTCAACAAAAACAGAAGTTGCTTTTTAAAAGTTCAAACTTTTTCAACTGCAGAAGTAAGGATGAAAAACCATGATTCTACATTTGAGGAATTACCAGAGAGTTTTTTTCGAGCCATCGACCTTTTTAAATTCAGGCCAAAATGAAATCTACTCCAAAGTGGGAATCGACTCGGCTTTCATCTGGCGTCAACGAAATCATAATCGGCAAAGAGTAATTGAGGCCTTTTCAGACATCCACCGCCGGCTACATCAACAATTAAAAACAAAATTTGAAAAAATGAATCTTCACCCGTTTAAGCATGAACATACAATCTAAATATGTTGTCCTATATGTTTGAAATTGGAAAAAAATAAATCTAAAAAAATAAATAAAATTAACCATCAGAACCCTAATTCATCCAAAAATCTGCTCCTAAGAACCGCGCCGCCCTCGCTTCTCGGTCGGTTGTTCATCAATCAACCATCTCCTCTTCAAATAGTCATCAACTGGCCACAAAAGTCAGCGACGATTGAAAGAGAACCCTACGATTCAAATTGAAGAAGCAGGGGAGGAGGGAAAAAGGAGTTTAGGTGATGGCTAACGTTTTGCAACCAAAAAAAAAATTTTAAAAAAAAGTTTGGCTGTCATATCTTCTATTTAGCGCCGCTTTGAGCTTTAGGTTCATCATCGATTTAGGCTTAAGGAAGCGGAATTGAGGAGAGACTCGCCGGCATTCTGTTTCATCGAAATTGAAACCTAAAGGTAAGGAAACGGAATGGAGGAAATCTATTGAAATCTTCTAAATAATGAACAAATTTTGAATTTTGAAATTAATGATATTATTAATCAGCACCGATAAAGGGCAATCAGCGCTGAAAATGGGGGAGTTTTCCCCCACTATATGAGACATTTACATAGACATTTAGAGAGATTATATATGGAATAATTTCTATCCCTTAAATTGAGGGATTCATTTGAACTGATTCATTCTCTAGAAAGTAGGATTTTCAGAACTTACTTTGTGTTAAAATTTGCTGCTCATTGGTGAAGCCACGCGTCCACTTTTTGTAGCTTCAGTTTTGTACTGTAAATGGTTTTGGAGGGAAAATTTTCTTTGTGATGCTGACACGTGTATAGAATGTTTGTTGCTTTAAGTAAGTACACTAGATTATATACAGATTGATAAAACAAATAAGTGAAGGGGTGGGATTTTCCCTATTGGGTCGGATAAGTATGTCTTCTACGGTGTGTGAATTGAGTAAGGACCATTCTCACCCCAATCATATTCATAGAAATCGCATAACCAGCCATACGAGTTTGAATGTTATCGTATGTTTTTAATCTTATTTTTGAAAAGAAAAAAAAATTGAAAAATCTCATACAAAATAAAAGAATACTGGATTGATCAATATAACGAACAGTAATGCCATAGCAAAAAATCTCCGTGAAAAAAACTAGTAAGTATTACTCTAACTACCGGATTTACACTGTTTTTGCATTGGGATCACGTCAATCTGGATGTCTCCCTTTTATTTTACTTTAATTATAGTAAAAGAAGAAACCAAGAGGAAGAAGATGCTGGTAATTTGTGAACGGGAATATTTTGCCAAACTCCAATGACATGGCATGCCACGTGTAAAACAAGGAACACGAAATTGTCACAATCTATGAGACTATCCTTTTTAAATCATCACATCATTATTGTTTTTTCTTTTAAAAAAGGAAAAATCACATAATTATTAACCTTAAAAAAAAACATTGTATAATCTACATTTACTGCATCCAATAATTTCGATTTAATATTTGCTCACATAAATTTTTACTGTAAACTAATATGTTTTGGTAGATAAATACTATTAGTCTACTACTACAATTTATGGAATAATATATACCGTACGTATTAAATATGTTTCCCTGCTCCCAAAGAAGTACTACCAGTAGTAATTTGTTTTTAGTAGTATTCATTTTTATTTTTTTTTCTTCTAATGTTGTTACCAAAAGAACGGTTAACGACAGAGTGCAAAGATTTCAGAAATAAAATTCAACAGACGCTTTAATATGTAACTCTATTATGTGTAGTTCTTCTTATTCAAAAGCCTTCCCAGTTCCCACTGTGTATGAACATGCAATCTCAGAGCTTCTTCCTCTCTAGTAGTCTAGTGTAATAATAACGGAATAGAATTCTTCAGAATCTCCTTCAGAGAAATCCTTTTTTCATCTGCAACCATCTTATAATCCCATAAATCCCATCTTCGCAGGTAAATACAAGTATTTTTATGCTTTTTGTTCTTTTTAGCCGTCTATTTGAGGATTTCAGGCCTTAAGAGATTTGGAAGGCGTTTTTGTTTTTCTATAAATTTATATGTGTTTCCTGGATAAAGAATTAATCTTTATGCCTTTTCAAGTGACCATTGCTCGCTATTTTGGATTCTAGGGCTTAAGAGATTTGAGGGGTCTTTTTTTTTTTCTTTTTCTGTTTTTAATTCAACTGCTGGAATTTGTAGATTTGGCTTTGTCTGAAGACTCATACTTGTGCCCATTTACTTGTGCAGAAGAAGAGGATTATCTGTTATACCTGTAATTGGCCATTTCCTTGGGTTTCAACTTCGAGAAGTTCTTGTATGAATGGTGATGCTTCTGTTTATTACCAGTTATCATTTGTATGTAATCTTTTGATGTTTTTGTATCTTTTTGACTGAAATTGTTAATTTTCCCTAGTCCTCTGTTGTGTCTGTTTGGAATAGGAATCAGAAAAGCTTCCTTTTTGGCTGGAGTCGTAGGCATCTCTTTTTTTCTCAAGGGTTCTTAGATCTGAGGTTCTGTAGTAGAATCCTTTTGGCGTAAATGGAACAGCAAGGTTTAGGTTCTGATTCCGTCCCTCCTTCTGGGTTTGTTGATAAGTCCAAGGTGTTGGATGTAAAACCACTGAGATGTTTAGCTCCTGTGTTTCCTTCCTCCCCTGGTATGGGTTCAGTTTCGAATCAACAGGCCACACCTTTTGTTTGTGTTCCTCCTAGTGGCCCATTTCCACCTGGTGTTGCACCGTTGTACCCCTTTTCCATTCCAGGTGGGTCTCAGAATAATCAAACACCAACTGGCGGAGCGTCCAACCATGGTTTGGGTAGCAATATACCTTCCCCGGTTCCATTGAATGCATTCAGAACTCCATCGGCCAACGGGGTGCCAAGAGGTCGTGGACGTCCTAGGAAAAACAGCCAGAATAGCACGCCTCAAGGGATAGTCATAGAGGACGATAATTATAGTGATGGCTTTACTATACATATGAATGATGTTGAAGATGGGAGCAGTAGCAGGAGGCGAAAGGTTGGATTGCAGAAAAGGACAAGGGGGGCTAATGGCGAGCAGGAAGATTCCCTCCCAGAAGTTGATGCTGATGGGGAGGCTAACAAATTGATCGCTATGTTCGAAATGGTGGACGTGGATCCTAATAGAAAATCTAATGGTGACAGGGAGATTGTTCAGCGGGTACTATTTGTGTTCGATTTACTTAGGAGAAAACTTACTCAAATTGAAGAATTAAGAGAGGCAAATCCTGGAGCTAGTAGGCGCCCAGATCTTAAGGCGGGTAATACCTTGATGACTAATAAAGGTATTCGCACCAATTCTTTGAAAAGGGTTGGAAGCGTTCCCGGGGTTGAGGTTGGTGATATTTTCTTCTTCAGGATGGAACTGTGTTTGGTAGGGTTGCATTCTCCCAGCATGGCTGGGATCGACTATATGAGTGTTAAACTTACCCTGGATGAAGAGCCTCTGGCAGTCAGTATTGTCTCATCTGGGGGCTACGATGATGACGGCGATGATGGTGACGTGTTGATATACAGTGGGCAGGGTGGAGTGGCAAGGAGAGACGGCCAGATGTTTGATCAGAAACTGGAAAGGGGCAATCTTGCTATGGAGAAGAGTGTGCATCGTGCAAACGAAATACGGGTCATTCGGGGATTGAAGGACGTTCATGGTCCAAGTGCAGCGGCGAAGGTATATGTTTATGACGGTGTTTATAAGATTCAGGAGTCATGGACGGAGAAAAATAAGTCCGGGTGCAGTGTTTTTAAGTATAAACTGCACCGAGTACCTGGGCAGCCTGCAGCATTTACATTGTGGAAAGCAATTCAGCAATGGAAGGATGGAGTTATTTCAAGAGCTGGAATCATTTTGCCAGATTTAACCTCGGGCGTGGAAAGTCATCCCGTTTCCCTTGTTAATGACATTGATGATGAAAAAGGTCCCGCCTATTTCACATATATTCGGAGTCTGAAGTACTCGCAGCCTTTCTCTTCACCTAAGCCCTTTACAGGTTGTCATTGCCTTGGTGGATGTCAACCGGGCGAATCCAATTGCCCGTGCAATCAGAGAAATGGAGGATATATCCCCTACAGCCCTCTTGGAATCAGGATGAATTACAAATCTTTGGTACACGAGTGTGGCCAGACGTGCTCGTGCCCTCCCAATTGCCGGAATCGGATGACTCAATCAGGTCTCAAATTCCAGTTAGAAGTGTTTAGAACAAAGGAGAGAGGTTGGGGACTGAGATCGTGGGACCCCATTCGTGCAGGTGGGTTTATCTGTGAGTATGCAGGTGAGGTTGTTGATGCTTCTAAGGCTGATGAGATTGGGAGTGACAGTGAAGGCAGTTTTATGTTTGATGCCACTCGAGTTTCTGAACCAATGGCACCTGTGAGTGATGCTTCGGGCGAGTTGTCGACGAAAGTTCCATTTCCGCTTTTTATTAGTGCGAAGAACAGTGGGAATGTTGCTCGCTTTATGAACCATAGTTGTTCACCAAATGTTTACTGGCAGCCTGTTTTACGTGAGAACAACAACGAGTCATTTCTCCATATTGCTTTCTTTGCCCTTTACCATATACCTCCACTGCAGGAGTTGACATTTGATTATGGGATGCCTGCAGCTGGCCAAGTAAGTCTCAGGAGAAAGAAATGCTTTTGTGGCTCGCGAAAATGCAAAGGTTTCTTCTATTGAGAATTACGTGGGAGCAAGTCCCGCCAAGGAACCAGCTTTTGCTCTAGGTATGTAGTAGCTCTTGTTCCCTTAATACAAATACGGTTTCTCTTTACTATTTGAGGGACAAATTTTCTTTCCTGGGGATTGCTAAGAAACTTTTAATTCATCCAACCTTGAATTTGTACCCAATTTTCAGTGTTTCCTTAATTTGAGTTCTTTCTTGCATTTTCAGTGTTTCCAATTTGAGTTCTTGTTTTGGTCATTACTTTGATCTGAATTCATTCCTTTATTCCTTATTCCTTAGTTACTTTGATCTGAATTCATTCCTTAATTCCTTAATTTTGTTTTGGTCATCTTGGCCATTGGTTTTCTTGGCTGCAGGATGTATTATGAATTTAAACTTTAGCTGCAGGGTGAATATGGTTTTATTTTGGGACAGGAGTCTCTCCTTTTTTTCCGGAAACAGAAATTTTTTATGCTGCTTTTTCTTTTCTCAGTTGGATGTCTAGCTGACGGTAGGGAGTTATTCACCTGAGGAATTAAATGCAATCAGCTGCAGTAAATTATGCGGAATGTCTTCTAGTGAATTTTGGGTTTCAGCAGGAGGAGCCAAAAACAGGTTTGTGTACTAGTGTAGGGTTTTGGAGCTCCAAAATTTGTGTACTTTTATGTAGTTCCCATCTGAATGTATCTGTATCTTGAGACACCTAGCCTGTAGCTCGATTGGATGGACCTGTATTTTGCTGTTGTTTAGCTTATTTGGTGGTAGTTGGCCTTACTAGGGTTATTTCCCGTTTTGTGTTGGTTGACTGTATATTGTAATGCTAGCTTGTTTGCTACAAACACTGTGGGGCAGGGTGCCACTCTGACCACTATTTTGTTGTCATATTAGCTTTTTTCGGGCGTTAGTATAAACTTTTGGGTGTTCTGTAGTGAATGCTGACCTTGGTTTAATGTCAAGAAAGCAGCGTAACACCCGTTTCCTTCAATAGTTTTAGTTGCTTTTCTGAAGCTGAGCATGTAGTTGATCCAGAAAAATTGGTTATGGTTCAAGATGGGTTGCTTCCTTTATATGTATGGATGTCACAAGTACAATTATTGAGTAAGCTCTGAGATTAATTTGTGTAGACGAGGGGTCGGGAGGAATTATTTGTGAAAAGTAATGTAAGTGAATGAGAATGATGAATGTGTTGCAGAAGGGATTAGTTTGTGCTGCAGTGTGTAATGTGCCACTGTTGAGGATCATCAGCGTAAAGGGTGCAGGAGGGATAACGAGTCTCAAATTTAGCTGCAGCTTCATTTGAAAATCTAGTGTGTAGAGTTGTCAACTTGTGGAGGATTTAGTCGTGTTAATGGAAAACTGAAAGCAATTGACACTTAGAGAGTGAATATCTTCAAAGTGCATTTGAGGGTGCAACATATGGCTTGCATGAGGCAGTTTTGGTTGCTTATGTTTTCCCCAGAAAACCAGACTAGGAATTCGTTGATTCTCTTGTGGTCAGAGGATTGGCGTAGTAAGTGTACAAGTTGGGCACATTCTTTGGTTGATCTGAGGATGGCGTAACATTTGAACTTTGAAGGCTTGGACTCTGCGTGTTCAAAAGAAGCAGCCTTCAACATGTTGTCCTGGGTACGGACTCCATTTTATCAATAGCGTTGGATCAGAATGAATGAATGTTTAAGCAAATCAAAAGTGGCTGTTAATTATTTGAACCGGGCGTGAATAACAGATTGCTGTGGCGGGGTCTTAAATTTTGTTCAAAAGATTGTTGCTTCTGCAAAGGGTTTCGAGACTTGATGAGCGTATTGTATAGAATAGATAACTAAAGTAATTATATGGGATTAGTAGGACGCCGGAAATGCAGTATCAAATTCCCATTACCTCTATTCTCATTACTGCATAAACAACACATCCTCAAAGTAAACATGATTGGATTGCACACGTATAAGCAGGGTTTGTTGACATTTACTTAGTGAAACGAGATCACTGACTAAGGTGACATATATACAAATACTTAATTTTATTTTATTGAAGTTGGTAATTATTGAGAGAGTGACTTGGAGTTTTAGAGCTTATTTGATAACATTATTTAATGTTTAAAATTAAGTATTTTTTCAATTATTAAGCATGCTTTTTGAAAGTGCAGTACAAAAAAAAAATAAAAAAAATTAGCTTACTGCTTATTCTGTAATTAATGAATTCAACATTTTTTATTTATCATTTTGTATTCGTAATTAAACAGTAATTTTTATTAAATAGATCCTTAGTCCTTTCTAAGTCGTTATTTTATTTTATTATTTAGTCTCATTGTCACTATCATTTACGTTTTTTTAATAGGATATACAATTTTATTCGACTAACCAATAAGTAGTACTGCTATAATAATTTCTGTTAAACTTGAAGGGATTGAAAAAAACGGGGTAAAAAAAGAAACGAAAAAGAAGAAGAAAATTTTAGGCCCATGTGAAAAACTCCAATGTTAGGCCCAAAAGGAAAATCAAGAGAGGTTGAGCTCAGTAGAAGCCCAAAAAACCAGGGCAGTCTTTTTAATAGTTAGCGCCGTTAGGGTTTTCGCCCTATTTCTTGCTTCCAAGTATTCTCCCTCCCGCGGCCACACTCTCCATCCATTTCCAGAGGTTTGGTTCTTCTTCTTCTTCTTCTTCTCTCTTCGTCTTTGTGCAGATTTCCCAGCTGACTAACCTTGTTTGTGATTCTTCATCATCCATGCTTATTTTGTTTACTTTGTGTTTCCGTCCAGCCAGGATATCCCCAAGGATCTCTCGTATCTCTTAAGCAATGGCGGCTGCTGGGGTCGTTGTTTCAGACAAGGAGAAGTCTCACACCGATGTTCTCCTCTTTAACCGCTGGTCCTACGATGATGTTCAGGTTCTGATTTGTTTTCATGCTTTATTTATTTGTTTATTTTTTTTTCTCATTTCTCGGGGTTAAAAATTGGTTCTTTTTAAGTTTGATTGGTTCTTTATTAGCTGTTTTTGTAAGAATGTTTGCGCTTTTGGTGCTCAATTGGAGGATTTCCTTGTAGCTTTTTTTTTTTCTTTATTTTTCTTTTTAACATTGTTGTTTCCCCCTTCTCCACTTCATTTTTTGGTAGGTGGTCTTCTGTTACTTTTGCTGGTTTTTGAGATGGAAAAATATCTTAATTTGTCTTAGGGATTTCCATATGTCTTTTCCTCAGTTTCTGTTTTGGTTTGAGCCCTCTTTTTTTTTCATCAAATCGTGGCTTTGTTTTCTTGTTCCTTTTTTAGTAACCTAAACCTGTGGTTCCGTTAAATCAAGTTGTAGCTTCAGTTTATAATGCAATTGTTGGCTTTAATTTATATATCCCAACCCCCCACACCAGAAGCACGAAGCAGATTTTGCCCATGGCCCAGAAGATGTTTTTTTTATATTTTGGTCTCTGGGTCAATTTGAACTGTCTAATTCTTGTGGAATGTTTTGTCGGACTGTTAAGTTCTTAATGCGACCTGATCAAATTAAATTGTAAAATACTTGTTGTTGCTCAACGAAGTAAGGGTTTTTTTCTTCTTCTTTTCTTTTCAAACTAAATTCATTCTGGATGCCTTGGTTGGTTTCAGATCAACGACATCTCTGTGGAGGACTACATTACTGCTACTGCTTCCAGGCATGCGACTTACATCCCCCACACCGCTGGTAGGTACCAAGCCAAGCGTTTCAGGAAGGCACAGTGCCCAATTGTTGAGAGGCTGACCAACTCCCTCATGATGCACGGCCGTAACAATGGTAAGAAGCTGATGGCTGTCCGCATCATCAAGCACGCCATGGAAATCATTCACCTCTTGACCGATCAGAACCCGATTCAAATCATTGTTGATGCCGTTATTAACAGGTAATGAGATATAGCCAACCTATCTTTGTGCTTTATGACCTAGTTGCTTTAAATTCAACATTGCTGGATGCGTGTGATCTTTTCTGCGATCATTTTTTGATGTTTATTTGTGGTTTGGGTGCATCTTTTTGTGAGTTTGCAGTGGGCCAAGAGAAGATGCCACTCGAATTGGTTCGGCTGGTGTGGTCAGGCGTCAAGCTGTTGATATTTCTCCCCTTCGCCGTGTTAATCAGGCCATCTATTTGCTGACAACTGGTGCTCGCGAGAGTGCATTCAGGAACATCAAGACCATTGCTGAGTGCCTTGCTGATGAACTCATCAATGCTGCCAAGGGATCATCCAACAGGTATGTGTTGTGGCAGGGCACATTATTTGTAACTTGATTCTTATACTCTGATGCCCCCAATTGACTTTTTTTCCTCCCCTCATCACCTGTGCAGCTATGCCATCAAAAAGAAGGATGAGATTGAGAGAGTTGCAAAGGCCAACCGTTAAGCAAGAAATGGAACCTGGGAAAAAATTTTGGGTTTTCTTCCATTTTCTGTTTTAATCCATTATAATAGAGAAACCGCTTTAGAGTTTTATGGATTGGAGAAAGAGATTTTGGTGTATTAAGTATTTATTTCAATGTATGGATTGAATTTTAAGTCGAAGATTTGCTTCGTTGCACTTGAGTAATTTTAATAGATTCTATCTTCGGAGTGTAGGATTTTGGGAGGTCGCATCCCGGAATTTTGTTTCTTCTTACCTTTATGCAGTGCAGGATCAGTCGGGTATGTCACACAAAGTAGACTGACTGACTGACTAAAGTGCTTAATGAAGATCTAAATGAAGATTTTGTTTCTTTGATTTATGGATGCATAATGTGATCAAACAAGGCGAGGAGGTCACAGAGACTCTGTAGTGGTCTCTATCTGTAGCTGTAGAAAAAAGTTGTAGAGAGATAAAGATCAATATATGAATTTCTATCTTGTGCCTACTAATCTTAGACTCTGAACCTGAATTAGAATATCTGTGGCTTCAAATTGGAATTGGAATGCCATGAATTTAGATCATGGGTGTGGTAGCCTAAAGAGAGTCTAGGTGGGCAGAACTTGAGATGCAAAGTATATTCGGGCAAAGTGTTGCATGGAATGGATGGTTGAATGGAGCCTGCAAGGTTAGAGGGTACAGGAAAAATCATTGCTAGTGTGTATCCGCAGCAATAAAACTGAGTCAATAAGAAAAATCTGTTCCAAGAAGTGGGAAGTGGGAACCCAGAAAACAAAAAGAAGAATGTAGTATATCGTCCATGGGGACATCTGAGTTCCGTGAGCTAGTCTCACTTCCTATAAGGGTTAGGTGAAGAAGGGCAATGGCGGATAAGAGATCCCCTGCTTATTTCAGCTGCAGAATCTGTCCAATTAAAGCACTTAACTAGTTAGTACTTGATGGAGCGTCGTTAGTTAATGTTGCCGTCATCATCATCATAAACTTTACATTGGGGTACTAATATCAGAAGAAATCTAATAACAAAATTGTAAAGTCAAAATTCATGAATCTCAAAGCTTAGTTTTGGCCAGCATCTTCTTAAATCAGCAACATTTTTTTTTTAAATTTTTTATTTTTTGGTTGTCCTCCTAACAAAACAAAATAAAGAATATTTTGAGAGACATTCCGCATGGCTTATTCGTAGTTAAGAACAAAAATAATAAAAATGAAGTACTAGCTAGTTGACACAAAGTTGTTTTTAAGGAATAAGATTATAGGGGAGGGCCTGATGAAATGGACATATTATTCTCATCCTGTCTTTTCCATTTCCCTCAACTATCAGGACAAAAGAACTGAGTGAAAACAGACATCTTTACCTACTGCCATATTGCAAAATACACAATAATGCATTGCTTTATATGTTACTACTACTACTACTACTACTACTACTTTCATATATATTGTCTTCCAATTTACGAATGAGTGTCAACTGTGCCTTATTGCTACCACAAGATAATGAGTGCTGATGAATTCATCTCTGTAATTCAAACACACAACCAAACCGTCTCTAATAAACCCGGTCATCCCATCCATTAATCATACCTATTCTTTGATGCAATTTTGAGGCTCATATTCGAGTAAATCTTCGGCGTTATACCACGTCAACTATACATCCTATACACATATTAATTCCTATTAATTGGTTGTACCAAAAATGTGTGTACAGTTGATGTATATTTGATTTTCTTTTCATATACATATACAAATACAACCTCCATCAGTCTTGAAATATTGTTCATTTGAGATTTTTATTTTTATTTTTTAACCTTCATTTTCTGTGGACTAGTTAGTCAGTAATTGACATGCCATATCAACTTGTATAACTACTACTAATTCCACTTGTTAAATAAATCATCCCAATCATCCAGGTCGTCATCATCTTGCTACGTTGCCAATTTCTTTCCCGTTTTTCATTTTAACTACTCTTTTGTTTGTCAGATGGTCTACTAATAATTATAATTAAGAAAAAGGTCATTCATTAATATCTTTTAGGTAGAAGACTAGAAATAGAAGCAACTCTTTGCTGGTTGAAGGCATGCTGTTGGGCTCATCTAGACGATGCATCATATGCCTCCAAGTGGCAGCATTTGGTGCCTTTTGAGTTAATATTAGTATTATCCCTTTTCTTTTTGTTCCCCTCAATGGATTTGACCTGGCTTATTGTTCCGCCCAAAAGAAAAAAAAAATGCTGACAATAACCCGGTTATTTATTTATTTATTTTTGTTACAATAAAAAGAGACCGAAGCCTTAAACTTAAACATAAATATTATGGAGGTATGCTATTCTTATAATATCGTGTTCTAATCAAGTAACACACTCAATAATAGATCATCGAGGTATTATAATTCTCCTGGGTCTTTAGTTGCTAAAGATTTAAACTCATGCCATGCCATAGTTCAACATCCCAATCGCGTGAGAGCAGTTGTCCATTGTTCACATATGCTATGCTATTACTAACCTCCACAACAGAAACGAATGAATTTGGGATGTCAATATATGTATATGTATCTTTCAAATTGAACCATGTATGTTTTAGCTTGATATTAGTTGACAAAAACGTAAACTAGGCCTAAAAGAATGTTGGTTTTTTTTTTTTTTTTTATGTTTAGTGGGGAATACTAATTAATTTAATCATACTAATAAAAATATTAAAAATCTGTAGATAATTTAAATGACTTGTCACATATAGTACATCATAATTTTAAGATGACATCCAAGCATTATTCTTCTTTCTTCTCCTCTCTCTTTTTCCCTTTTGTTTTTTTGGGTTTCAATATCTTTATTTTTTCTGTCTTGATCTTGACTGGGAAATGGGAGAAGAAAAAAAAAACAATCAGAACAGAAAGAATAAAGGAGCAAAACTAGTCTGACTTGGTGAGGTTTTAGATGCCGTGTATCAAAAAGGTGAAATTTGTCTTATTAGAGAACCCAAAACCAACCAAGTCAGCATCTTCACAAAAAGGATTCTCAAACTAATGCGTAATTTAGTATAGAGCACACATAAGTTACACTCAAACTGTCAATTGAAAATTTAAGGAATTGACTGAGTCCTCGGTACAGTAGTAGTATCCCCTTTGATATTTTGAGGTTTGATCCCTCTTAATTGGTTGTGTTATAGATAGCATACTCTATATAAACCTCTCTCTTCTCTGTTCTGAAATCCAAAATTGTTCTTCACCTTTGATCACTAAACTTTTTTCGAAAATGGAAATTCAATTCCAACAGCACCCTGATTCATACCAGTTTCTGAGCATCCCTGCAGGCCGAAAAGTGACCAAACTCAGAGGAGGCAGAAACAAGAAAACCAGCAGCAGCAAGAAGAACTGCAATTATGTTGGGGTGAGACAGAGGGCATCAGGGAAATGGGTAGCTGAGATCAAAGACACAACTCACAAGATCAGGATGTGGCTTGGCACCTTTGAAACCCCCCAAGACGCCGCTCGTGCCTACGACGAGGCTGCTTGCTTGTTGCGCGGCTCCAACACCCGCACCAACTTTGTTACTTCTCCTAATTTCGTTTCTCATGATTCTCCCCTGGCTTCAAGGATCAAGAACCTCCTCCTCCGCAAGCGAAACACTGCAGCCCCCATTAGGCCGCCCACCCCAACTACTACTACTAATACTACTCCTCCTCACACCAGCAGCAGCAACAGCAGCAGTCAGAATGGAAGTTGCATTCTTACTCACAATTACAACAATACAAGTAGCAGCAACAGTGGATCATCATCAGCTGTTTTTGTTGATCAGAAAGGGCAACACCTTCACTTGTTTGGTGATGAATACAACTCCGATTTGGGAAACTCCTCCATTAGCACTACTACTACTAGTAGTACTAATGAAAACTACTACTACAGTATCATCAGTTCAATTGGTGCCAATGATACCGCATTCAGTCCCGATTTTGTTGATCAGAAAGCGCACCAATATTCGCGCTTGTTTGAGGGTTCTGGTTACAACAAGCCTGACTTGATCAGCAACTGCTCTACTGGTAGTACTAGCACTACTATTGAACAAGAAGAAGAAGAAGAATTGGAGAGCAGCAGCGGAGGAGGCGGAGTCGAAGATTGGCGCCGCATTTTTTACAGTGCTTACAAGCCTGATTTGAGCAACTGCATTCGCACTACTAATGAAGGAGCAGGATTGGAGTCAAGCAGTGATCAGAGAGGTCAACAAGACTCGCGCTTTTTCGACAATTTCCCTGATTTGGGTCACGGCATTGGTGAGTGTCAATCAAGCCTGTTGTCTTCCTGGGGAACTCAGCTTCATCAAGTATTACTACAACAACAGCAACAGGGAGGTGGTTTGGGTCATCAGAATAGGCCGGTGGGTGATCAGCAGGAGATGGAAATCTCAGTGTTTGAAAGAATGAAGGTTGAGAGGCAGATATCAGCGTCACTGTATGCAATGAATGGAGTGCAAGAGTACATGGAAACTCTTGTCTTTGATCCCACCTTGGAACCCCTGTGGGATCTTCCTCCTTTGTGTTCTTTGTTCTGCTGATTCAAGTCATTCAATCATCTCTACTTCTTTTTTCCCTTCTTCCTCTAATTCCTACTCCAATTGTTTTTTCTTTACCTGTTTTCTTTTGTTATATGTACTGTTAAAAAGTCCTCCATTTGTTCATTTATTGATTGGGTGTAGTCTGTACACAAGGATATGTACGCTACTAAAAATTTGTATCAAGATTTTATTTTTAGGGCGGAGTTTTGAGAATTAGCGCTTTGCTAAAGTATAAATTAGCAATCTTTGCCACTAAAAGAATAGCTTATATTTGGAAACTGGATGCAAGAGAGGTCAATTAGTATTGGTTGGATAGAGTTCTGTGGTACAAGCAGTTTACAGAAATGTTTTTCTTTTATTAATGTTTCTAGAAGATTGATGAGATGATGATAATAACTATAAGAGGAGACACCACCACGAACAGAAAATGAGAGGAAGAAATGACATTTTGGTTGATTCCTACTAAACAACACAAACTATATTTCTGAATGAAGCAAAAAAAAAACAAGAGGATTTTGTAATAAAAAATTTGGATTAGATAGAATAGCCGAGCAACATCAGAAATTGAGTTTTAGGTCCTCCGTAAATATTATTTGAAAAAAGGAAGGACTTTCTAGTTTCTAATCTATTGTTATGTAATTATTCAGTTACATTAGAAATTCTTGAAATTAACAAGCATATCATTTTATTACGAACTAAAGCTGACAAAAGAGATAAAGGAGAAGAAAAACAAAACTCAAACCCAGTGGAACTGCTGCTGAAATGGGAATACTCAAAGCAGTGGCTGTCATCTCCTCCCCCTCCGGCAACATCAACGTTAAGGGCTCTCTCCAATTCATCCAAGACACCTCCACTGGTATTCTTTGCTACCTTCTCCATTCATCCTTTGTTCCAATTTTTATGCTTTGGGAAGGAAAAAAAGAAAAGAATTACTTTTGTAGCTGAATTATGTTATTGTGTGAATATGATCAGGGGTGACCCATGTGAAAGGAACAATACTTGGGCTTACTCCGGGTCTTCATGGATTTCATATTCATGCCCTTGGTGACACCACCAATGGCTGCAATTCCACTGGTAAGATTATGCCCTGCCCATCTAGTTTCCCTCAAAACTGATTTTCTTTAAGTTGCTGAATGAAACCAGAAAATGTGTGAATCTGGGTTCTCCTACATACTTGACTCAAGCTACCTTGTGTCCTTCAATTTTTAGCACATAATAAAATGTTCAGTTCTTAGTTCCTGCTTTAGTTTGCAGAAGTTGCTCCCAATTTGAAGTGCTTCAGTCTTGGTTCTCTAATAAGAGCCTCATTCACGCTTTTTTTTTTCCTATGCAAGCTGATAAAACTCAAGACCCTGTTCTTAGTTCCTGTATTTGATTTTGTACAATATGCAGAAAATTTTATCTACTTGGTTTTCCTTCACCTAATTCAAACTGATTATGGGCTACTTATTTTGCCTAGAGAAAAAAGGTTCCATCTTTAGTTTCTGTGTTGATCTGTCTATGTTGCAAATTGGGTTACCTGGGCTGTCTCTATGATGTATACTGTGCAATTTCAATGGTGTTTTGGACTATGGCGCTCCATATGAATGAGTACACAAACAAATCACTAACCTGGACCCTATTTTGTTCTCTATATGGATTGAGGTTCTGTTCTTTTATTGAGTGAATCAAGTACTCCCTGTGTCCACATTCAGTTTTGAGATTTGTACTGGTTCTCGTACAATTTTCAAAACTCAATGTGGATTATTTTTTTGGGACGGGGGGAATAATAATTTTCAGCTAAACTCCTCTTCTCTAGCCAAAACATAACCATTGAAAAATCAAACTTCAATTATGAAGGAATGACATGAGAATATGTTGAACTGTCAGATGAAAGGCTCTTGATTTTTTTATGTAGAGCTGCATTAAGAGAATTCAACTAAGTCTAACCTAATTCCATCACGATATTCTGTCTTCAGAACTGGGTAGTAGAAGAGTCACTTTGCAAAAGTTTGACATTTTCCTGTTTTGTCCCGTTAAGGACCTCATTTTAACCCACTAAATATGGATCATGGGGCACCGTCTGATCAAACTCGTCATGCTGGTGATTTGGGGAACATCATTGCTGGTTCAGATGGTGCGTTAGTAAAGAATGGTTTCTTTAGATACGAAATGAAACAGTGAGAGTTTTTCCCGAACAGATGTCTGAAATGGTTCACTTCTTTGCATTTCAGGAGTTGCCGAGCTATCAATCAAAGACAAACAGGTCAGATGCCATTAACTTCTTCTGTGGTTCAAATTGCAATAGTTTTATTTGGTTATTTTGCATTTTTGCTGGTCTGTAATTTCACTCCCTAGTTTTGAAATGATGCGACAGCGAATAGTTCCTTTCATAGCAAGCTCGTTTCCATATAGGCTTCTACTATTTGTAAAATCTAATGAGTTTAAAACGTGACTTAGTAAAATAGATGATTGGTTCTGGGGTAACATCATTCCATATCAACCTGTAGGGCCTTATTGAGTTGCCAGTTTTTGCATGCTATCTTTATATTCTTACTCCTTTTTCTTTTCCAGATTCCACTAAGTGGGCCACACTCTATTTTGGGTAGGGCTGTTGTTGTTCATGCTGAACCAGATGATCTTGGAAGAGGTATTGCTATCCGCATCATAGCGTAATAGTATTTTCTCGATGGAATGTCAGTCAATAGGCTTGATCATAATTATGTCCAACAGGTGGGCATGAACTTAGCAAAACAACTGGGAATGCCGGCGCAAGGGTTGGTTGTGGTAATTCCACTCTTAACAGCATTTTCTTTTGAAAAACTGATTTTAGCTCCATCTTGACTGAGCACGATGGTGACATATAATCCATATAACCGCCCCCATCTAGTGGGAAAAAAAGCTTCTTGTAGTTGCGGTTGCTGCTGCTGCTGCTGTTGTTGTTGTATTTTAGCACCGTCTTAAATCCAAAAGTGTACATTATGGTTTAAAACTTCTGGAGACCTAGGTTGAACTTTGACAGTCCATTGAAGTCCATTATAATCTTTTTCTTCACAGTGATTACAACAAAGTACTGGAAACTTGGATGTGTAAAATAGTTGTACGTAGGTGGACCATAAAAATGATAATTCTTGTATTTTGAAGGTCAGTGGTCCTCTGTGTTTTGACATCATGCTCCTTTTGTTTCTCAGGGATTATCGGGCTGCAGTCGTCAGTATAGGATATGCAGTTCTCTGTCCAGTGCTTTGTGATACTTTGTATTCAGTACTTTTGATCTGTGTACATCGATTAGGCATTTCAATTGCCAATCTTGGTTGCTTTTATTTTTTAATGAGAAAGGAACTATTTTGCCTTGGATGATTTCATACATCTCAAGAGTTGGGTGTTAAGGTCCGTAGAGTTGGTGTCCATATCCAAATTTACTTGGGGGCTACACATCATCTTCTACAGGTGTAGCAGGTGATAAAGTAGGATTGGATTTGAATTTCTCAGGAAAAAAGGATTGGATTTGGAAATTAATGAAAGCTCTTTTTCAAGGTACTGGAATAAGATTAGTTTTCCCGTTCAGATTTGGAAAAGAGTTAATAATATAGATCGGTCTGTATATATATAGATGCCTAATGGTCTGTATATATATATATATGTATATATCAAGTTTTATAAAAAAAAAAAAATCCAAATGTCATGTTATCCTTAAAAGTCTTCCAACCCAAAACCCAAACAACTTCTAGTTTATTTATCTAATAATAAAATTAATAATAATTTCAAAATAATTGATCCATACTTCAGCAGCAGGTACACTTTTTTACTCAAACATGATTCTAACCCCGAATACTTATCCCCATTAACTGAGTGTATCAATCATCATCCACCCACCATTTCCGATCCGTAAATTTTACGCGTTATTAACCAACATTGGCAACTACTGATTTTCCACGCCCGCAGAAAATGGCAAGTAAATCTTCTAACTGGAAAACTCATGCTTCCAATATGCTATCATCATCCGCTACTCATGGATAAATTCTATTCTTCTCGCTCAAATCCTCTTCCTAACTAGACCAATCCAAAATCAAGAATTTTGGCCAAACTCTACATTTCTCTTCTTCTCTGTCTCTTTGATGCTAAAATTGAAGTGACAAGCAGAATCAACTACCAAAGAAAATTCGATTTTGTTCATGATTGAAAGGTAAATAAAAGAGCTTTTATCTCTTTTCTTTTTGTGAAGAAAAAAAAAGTGTTTTTATCTCTTTCATTATATGTCTATCTTGGATGATAAATGAATTGTTTGATGAAGTTTTCTATGTTCTTGGTTTTTTTGTTGTGCAGTCAATCATTATAGTATTTATTCTAAGATGTAAACCTTTTTGAAAACTCTTTGGATTAAACATGATATTTATTGTCTCTAACACATGAGTATATGATAAAGTCTTCTATAATTATTGCAAAATAATTATATTTACATACAAAATTACATTATATTTTCATTCCCTTTATTCAAATTTTGTTAATTAAAACAATAGATATTAGTTCAAAAATCAATCCGAGTGAAAACACGATCCAGAACCTAGTATACATTAAAAGAGAGTTTTCAATCAAACACATAGCATGAAATTAGATAGATTAACTTAAGTGACAAAAAATTAGATAACTAAGTCTACATGTAGTAACTACATTACTCTATCATTTAATGATAATTTTTTAATATAAAATTATAAATTTATAAATAAATCTTACCTGATTAAAAGATTACCCTTAATGGTAAAATTTAATGTTAAAATACAGAGTGGACAAGCTATAAAATGAGAAAAATGATATATATAATGAAAAAAGATAGTGAAAAAAAAAAAATAGTGGGTGATATGAAGTATTATTGCCCCTTTTTTTTTGCCATTTTCCCGTTAAATTTTTTTCATAAATTACATTTTTATCTTTAATTAATAAATAGATATGTTTAGAGAGAATGGTGTATTTGTCTTTTCATTAGCCGCGATCTCATTTCACGAGCAAATCTTCCATACAGTTGTCCTACCAGCAAGGTTGTAATTTTACCGGGAAATTTACCACAAAATTAGAGGGGCCGTATTATTTTACTGTATAATGGGTGTGTTGTTGCACTAAAAAAGGGGGGTAAACTTGCTGTATAGAATAATTTTTCCTCATTTCACTATTAGTGAGTCTCTATCATTGCTCATAAAATAATTTGGCAAACAAAACAAATTACACGTATTTACTTTTTCGGAAACAATAAAATTGTATATTGGCAAAAGATTGTTTGGCCTTTTAAAACTATCATATTCCATTCATTTCAAGAACTAAGTACTTGTTTGGTTTCTTTACATCATGGGCATAACGTTTTCTTTTTGAAAAAACGGGCACAATATTTTTTCCTTAAAAAAAAAAAAACAATACAACAGACCATTGGAATGTGATCTCCAGCACTGATCTCCAAAAAAATATATATATTTTGACCACACACTAAATGTTTTTTTTCCCTTTGATTATGTAGTTTGATTCACAATTATCATGCATTAAATGACTGGGTTTTTCTTCCTCATCCTTCTTAGTTGATATTCAGAATTTTCAATCTCTTTCTCTTTTGTAGTCCTCTGATGGTGATCATCGCTTGTGGTGTTGAATAGAACTTGCACAATCAATCAGAGTAAGAATAGCGAGAATTTTCAGACGAGGCCGTTTGGTTATTATAATTAAATTTCTTAAACTATTTGACTACAGCTTTTTGACCTTTTGTTCTATTGAATCAGCATGTGGAAGCAATATTCCATTGTTGAGAACCCCTTCATTGAGTTTTTTTTTTTTTTTTTTTTTTTTGCTTACTAAAAAATGGCATGAATTAAACCTACGGTAATTTGATTGATCGTAATTTGACATAAAATAATTTGGCAAAAAAGTTTATCACGAAAAAATAATTTATCGGACGTTTATCATGAAGATGATAAATAATGATAAACTTCTTATGATTATGATGGTTTTTATTTCAATTGGTGGTGCTTCAATTGAAAATTTAATGGTAATATATTTTTTACTCCTTATCGGGTGATACTAATGATTACTGTTGCTTACTTTGTATAAATATTCCATATGAAAAAAGTAAAATAATAGTAATAATAATAATATAATTATATATTAATCGGTCAAATCTTTAATAATATATAATACTCTCTCTGTCCCAAAATTGTTGTCCAATTTAAATTTTCACTTTTAGTCCGACTAAAAGTGAAAATCTAAACTGGACAACAATTTTGGGACATGAAGAGTAATATATCATATTATTTATAATATAGTATATTATAAAATAATATAATCAACGATTAATAATTAAGTAATATAATAATAAAATTTATTCATTGTTCATATGATGTAATGCTTGGAAAAAAGTTGATGTTATGATAATAAAACAAATCGCATATCAATAGAGAGAAAAAATTTTCAAAATGAGAAAAAGAATAAAAGCGTTTGTTTGAGACAAACAGTAGTGATGCAGGCGGAAGCCTAATCAATAGAAATTCGATTTAGGTTAACGATTTTTCAGTCCGTCGAATCACCGACCGAAAACCTAAAACGATACTAGTTTAGATCACCAACACATGCACCAAAATAAATTAGTCTACTAATTTACGGCCTTTGATCCAACAAATGGAGCACCAAAATTAGGTTGAGAGAAACTCTCGATATATTTTATAAATTCATCAAAAACTGAAAACTACAATGTGCCGCTAATGCCACTTAAATAGGAAAAATAGCACAAAAGTAAAACCCTAATCAAATACTAAATAACTAAAATACCTTTACGGAAATAAAACTCTAATACTGATAATTAAATAAACAACATAAATATCCTAATAATTTATATTTATTTCGGGCCTCCATCATTCTTCCGGAATTGAAAAAATTCGTCCTCGAATTTGGAGAGAGTGAAAGAAGAGCCTTGCCTCGATCAAATGGAAACCTAGCAAACGGACACCGAGCAACACTCTTCCATTGTCCACGTCGATTTTTTTGCTTGCCACGACAAAATGGAAAGCCAACATACAACGGCATTGGCAAGAGACACACCCGTGGTTTCAAAGCATGAGAAGAAAGCATCAACACATCCCAAGTCATGTTCACCGTAAGCGACCCCCGAAAGTGAAGTAACCATAAAGACCAGAATGAATCCATCTCCACAAAAGTGTTGGAAGTGGAACTAGACCACGCTTGTACTTCAAGATGATTGGCAAAAAATGCATCCCAATGGAAACGCACCCTTAAACCCGTGAGAAATTGGAATGGCACAAAAGAAACCAACCCATTCGTTGGCCCCAAAACTCAAAAAAATACAAAGAGGGCAGTGGACACCAATGATTACGTCCCTCGCTCCATTCCAATAAAAAGTTGCAAATAAGCCATGATAATAATCCCACAAAGCACCAAACAAAAAATACTGGAACTCTTCTACAGAAAATGCTCATTCCGGTTCCCCCTTTAAAGGCACTAACTAGCTAGTAATCCAAACTCTCCCATCATCCGAAAAGAAAATGCCGCAGCATTGAAACAACTTTTACTAACCCAAACATGAATGTCAAGAAAGCACCACGTGATTGACCCAGATATGATATATGAGTGGCATTTTACAAATGAACCAAAATTACCACAAAATTGTAGAGAACAATCATCATTAGCAACTGATATTGGAGATAAAGCATAAAGGGAGTCACGTGAAACAACATCAACAAGATCATTGGAATTGACTTCGTTGTTAATGTTGTCCTCTTTCATATCAATGAAATTAAAATCCAAATAATCGCATCCGCGCGAGAAACTCATCAATCTCCGAAGAAAGAGGGGATTTACCTCGTTGAGAAAAATTTTCTGAAAGTTGCGGCGAGACCAAGAGATCCAATGCTTTGACATCAAGTGGTTCTCTTTCCTCCAGAAAATCAACACCGCGGTAAACATCAAAGATCGACCGATGGCACCAATCGTCGTCGTCCGGGTAGACATCGAATATTGGTGGATTGCCCCAGTCAACGTTTTCGTTAGCCCATGGATCATGATCATGTTCAACCACATGTGGAGCAGCCAAAGAAGGCAATGCTAAACTGAGATCACGAGATACCACTTCATCAGCCGCAACTCCGGTAAAAACCGGTTGAATTTCATCTGTCTCCATTGTAGTCACATCACGAAGGAACTTTCGCTGCTGCAAAGGATGTTTGCAGGCCACTTGGCGATGCCCATGTTTGCCACAGTTGAAGCACTTGATAGCCCGCCGCGGGGACGACCAGAACCAGAAGAATCCGGTGCTGCAGCAAGTGTTGGAGTCGGATTGCTGCTCGGACTGGAAGGAAGGTTCTTCAGTGGCTGGAAGCAATTGCCACCACTCCGACGCTGCTGTTGACGCTCCACATTAGTGGTACGCTGCTGAGCAGTAGCAATAGAGGCTGAATCGAACAAAGGGACCCTCGCTGGACGCAGCCGCGAAATATAACGCTTCACCTTTGTTTCTCTAGTGCCGACAAAGGCATTCCGGGTCAAAAGCGCATAGAATTCAGATGCAAAATCTCTGAGTGAACGCAGAACACCCACTTGACGACCCCTCCGTTGATGAGAAGCGGCCGAATGACCAGAACTTGCAGAAATATTGGAAATTTTACCAACACGCGAAACTCGTCTAGGGTTGTTGGCGTCAAACCCCAATCGTTGCAATTCTTTGGCGACGTCCTTCCTAACATGTCGAACAATGAAATCAGCAAGTCGTTGTTCCAAATACACCTTATATTGATCAAATTCTCCCTTAAGCTCTTGGCGTAACTCCTCCCGAAGTTTAGCAGCCCGCTTTGACGCCATGGCTAACCAGAAGTAAAGGGAAAGAAAAAAAAAATCACGGTTAAAACTTGAAATTCAAACAAACAATCACTGCTCGATCCAGGAAAGAAACGAGGCTCTGATCCAACTGATGCAGGCGGAAGCCTAATCAATCGGAATTCGATTTAGGTTAACAACTTTTCAGTCCATCAAATTACTGAAAAACTAAAACGATACTAGTTTAAATCACCAACACATGGACCAAAATAAACTAGTCACATGTGTCACGGGCTTACTTTTTCAAAGTAACGGCCGTGCGGCACTAGCACAAAACAACTAACGATCAAGTGCTAGCTCAGCCTTAAGACCCCCAAAGCGTGCAAAGCTAGGCGAGACTTTAAAGAACGGAGGCAAAGAAAAACTTAAGAAAGGTTGAAAGTGAAAGAATGATGAAGGCACAAGAGAGCTTAAGGAATGCTTGAGAACTCTACTCAAAGCTTGGATGATTACAAATGAAGGGGGGCATGGGGTATTTATAGGCAAACCCCCAAGTCCTAAAGAATTCTAGAGAATTCTATGTACATAATAAAATAATGGGATTCTAGAGAATTCCTACAATAAAATATTCTAAGTTCAAAATATCTACAAGTCTCTAGAATCTTCCACACGGTTCTAGCAAACTCGGGTAGCTTCCACACGGTTCCACTCGTTTCTAGAGAGTTCCGGGCCTCTCTAGAAAATTCCAGAGTCTTCAAGATTTGACTGGAGAATTCCACAAGGCTCTAGACCGTTCCGTCCCATGTCCGTCTACGAAAATAGCCCGTTTCGCATCAAACCACCCGAATTCGTGGTGAAGAAAAACTGTCCGTGACACATGGACCAAAATAAACTAGTCTACTAATTTACGGTCTTTGATCCAACAAATGGAGCACGGAAATTAGGTTGAGAGAAACTCTCATATATTTTATAAATTCATCAAAAACTGAAAACTACAATCTGGGCTAATGCCACTTAAATAGGAAAAAATAGCACAAATATAATAACCTAATCAAATACTAAAAAACTAAAATACCCCTACGGACATAAAAATCTAATGCTGATAATTAAATAAATAACATATAAACCCTAATAATTTATATTTATTTCGGGCCTCCATCAATAAGAGAAAAGTATACTGATAAATTAAATCGATCATTTGGAGGAAAAAATTATGTAGAGAATAAGAAAATATGAAAAAAAAAACGAGATAATAATGAAAACTAAAATATTATTACAAATTTTTCAAGAAATGTTTTAAGAGAGGTCATCATATTTTGAAAAAAGTTTAATACTGTGCAACCAAAAAGAGAAATGAAGTAAACAGTATATTATGTAATATGGGTAGAAATATTTAGAAAGATTATTATAAAAAATTCAGAGAATATATTTAATAAAAGACACAAAGTCATGAATTAACAAAACAAAAAGATGAGCAACAAGTTACATTGGATGATTTTGATTATTGAAAATTATTCCAAATGTACTTGAAATAACAAAACACATTGACATTAAAAATTATACGATTATAATTTATATTATTAATATTATGTGTATATATATGCATATATAACTTTGTCAGAAATGTCATATAATCGTTACAACGTCATATATATCTTGAAAAAAAAAAGTACACGTGTCAGGTTCGTGTTAACCCATTTCCCGCCAAAAGTTTTTAGCATACAAATGTTCAACGCATTAATTGTTAAAGGTAATTTATAGAAACAATCATAATTTATGGATGAATTTGATTACTTAAGGAAATAATCGCAAAATTTTGATCATTTATTCAGTGATTTGACCAAGATATGGAAGTTTTATTTCAAATAATTTGATAATGATAATTATGCGTGAATGTGGATGTTTTATCTATTCAACTTAAATAAATTAAGAAAGTATCACAAATTATTACTCATTTATGCTTTGATTTGAGCAAGATTTGGAAGATTATTTATAATTAATTTTAAAATAATTAGTGAATGATATTGTAATTGAATTTGGACGTTTTTCCTTACATATTCGATTTTTTTAAAAAAAAAAAACAAAAGGACTACAAATTATTGATTATGTATTTATTGATTGATTTAAAGTAAACGTGTTCGGACTACTATTTAAACTCCACCCCCTCCATATACACTCGTCCACAATATTGTTCTTCTCATTCTCTGCTTAATATAGGTTAGAATTATGTGCTTTGAAATTTACTACTTTTTTTTGCGCCTTCTCTGTTTCAATTTTACTTTTAAAATATTTTTTTTTGTCTTGGTTGAAGGAGATAAAAATGGTCACCGAATGCCATTGATATGGCCCCTAATTCTTGTGTTTATATTGTGTAAATATTTCCAAAACATGGCTTGCAAAATCTAATTTGCAAATTATATTCACTTGTGTAAATTATTTCGAAACATGACTTGCAAAATATTATTTGTAAGTTATGTCTATATGGTGTAAATTCTCCCAAAACGTGGCTTGCAAAATCTAATTTCCAGTTTATGTTCACTTTTTTTTTAACTAAACCCTAACCCTAACCCAATACATAGTTTGCTAGACAATAGCAAATTATGTTCATATGATGTCTCACTTTTACAGTCAATATTAATTCTTTCTATTTTTATGAATTACACTTTTTACAATATTTACTTATATCTAGAACTAATTTGGAAGTTATTTTAAGTATTTGAAATTCCTAAAACATGGTTCGCAAAAATTGATTTGCAATTTGTGTTCTCTTTTTTTGAATTATCCAAAAACATGTTTTGAAAAATCTAACTTACAAGTTATATATGATTAGTTTTCCCAAATCTTCCAAAACATATAATTACTTCTTCTATTACTATTATACAAGCCATATTAGAATTCAAAACTAACATATTTGTTTTTTTTTTCTTTTAAAGAAACTGTGTTTTGGAACCATTTCCTTTACAAAACATGGTTTGGAAAATCTAATTCGCAAGTTATGCTCTCTTTTATAAGTTTTTCTAAAACATGGCTTGCAAAATCTAATTTGCAAGTTATGATATCTTTTGTAACTTTTCCAAACATGGCTTGCAAAATACAATTTGCAAATTATGTTCACCTTCAACATCTGTCGAAACATATTATTGCAAAATCTAATTTCCAAGCTATGATCTCTTTTGAATGTTTTCCCAAAGAAAATGATTTGCAAAATCCAATTGAATGATTTTTTATGTAGAAAAAAGGGGGAAATCAAACAAAATCCATTTTGTTAGACGGTCTTCTTTACTACATCTTCATCCTTTTTTTTCACTCTATTCTTGTCCTTTATGCCCGGGCAAGGGCCCCGGCTAAGAACCTAGTTCTCTTTATTTTAAAATAAAGGTCAATTTATACGTAAACTAATTATTATTCAGTATGTCTTCCCATTTTCCTCCCCCTCCAAGAAACATCACCATCGCCAGAAGTAACTCCTTCACCTGAAGCTGTTGGGCTTTAGGGTTCATGAAAACTTCTGCAACCTACTACAAATTAGACATCTGGTAACCGCCGCATGCAGACCTCCATCACCGATTCATCTTCAATTCCAAGCTCTCCTAAATGAGCCCCTACTAGACTATGAGGTGCTGAGGTGCACTGTCGATCGTTCTTCATATGCCGTGGTGTAAGTATGTTCTAATAGTTGAAGACTGATAAGCTGAATATATCAACACTCCTACTTGAAAACATTTTCAACATGGACGATTTCGTACTCAATTGCAATGATCTCTTGCTTTTACATATTGATTTTAACATCATTGATCACAGGGCCTTGTGGGCTCGTAACCGAGTTTTGGAGAATCCCAATGCTCCCCTGTGGCAGCATCTGGAGGCCCAAAACCTCATGCCGTAGAGGAATGTTCAGCAGGCCGTATATTTGCCAATCAGAGATAACTTTATTGTTCCTCCAAACCATCACTTCATGACTTTCCTTGGGCATACTAATGTGACCTTGTTGCGTGCCCTCTACTTGATCGTCTTTTTCATCCTCAGAATGAGTTTTTCTTTGTTGTGGGTTACCATTTGTCTGCTGTGCAGATTCTACTAATTGAGACGACATTCACTAGTGTTTTCGGTATGCAGTTTAGTTTGGAAGAAGGGCCAGAACACTTAGACCGTTGTAGTCTGTACGTGTTCACCTTCCATCTAATGGAACCGGTTCCTGAACTCCGTCTTGTTGCTGACGATGATGAACGTGAGAATTACTAGTTCACCAGAGGCAACAACTGAAAGTCCAAGTCTTATAGTTAATGGCTGACGGCAACCTAATTGTATTCATCTGGGGGTGGTAGTTGGTGTAACAGTGACAAACTATAAATGATCTTCTTGTTTAAAAAAGATGGTATCCATACTAAAGTAGAAAATGACTCATTCTTATGAACATCATATTTAGCTTTGCCTGAAAAAAATTATTATTCAATAATAATTTGTGTCAAATATTTTTAGAGCTCTCATAAAAAATATTGATATATATATATATATAAGAGTGGGCCTCATGTATCAAGGATAAAGTTAAGAAAAAAAATTAGCACTAAATTTGATTTGAAATCTTAAAACGACATACATTTTGTTATATTCTTTCAAACCTAAACAATGTATATTCAGAAATAAAGGGAGAAGTAGTTGACAAGTTTTTAATGCAATTGCGTTTTTTTCAAGAAAAAAAAATTCCCCAAACTCAAACTAAAATATTCTAAACTTCCAAAAAAGTAAATATTTATAAATCAAAATGTTGTACTTATAAAACTAAAATATTGTGTATTATTTACTAATGAAGAACTAATACTTTTTTTTTTGGTTGTGGTAAATGGAAAAAAAAAAATTGAACTAGCCTTAGAAGTGGTAATGATAAGTCACGAGAGCCAAGATGATTGGTCACGTTTTGGTTTGGTTTGGGCCTAGGCTAGTTCAAATTTATTAGTAACGCTGTATTTTCTAGAATTAAAGGGTGTTTGGTTGATGGATTGTGGAATCAGGAAATGAAATGATTTCAAATTCTTATGTTTGGTTGGAGTTTTAATTTAAAGGGAATGGATTGATATACTATTATTCAAGAATCTCCTAAACTCTCTAGAGGGGTCGAGTTTTAATTTGATTCCTAATTTTCTTTTTTTTTTTGGGTTTCTTATCTTTCATGATATTTTATAATGAGTCAAATTTTTTTATTATAATTTTAATGGTAAAATTTTCTTCTAAATTATAAATTTCAACATTCAGAGAGAATTTATAATCATATCAAAATTACACATATGATTAAATTTCATTTCAACAACATAATTTATTATTTTACTAAATTTCGTATTTTGTTTCATGTATTAAGTTTGAACATAAACTTGAAACTATTCAACATCAAATAAACTCAATCGATCTAAGTAAAAGTAATAATAAGTTCTTAAAATTGAATCAACACAAATAATTTTTGAGTTTTAAGAATTCAATATTAAAATTTTACGTCTTAAATTTAATAAATTTAATAGTAAAAATAAAAATGACAACTAAACTCGACTGATGTGCCAAACAATAATTTTGGAATGATTATACCAAAACCAAACCCTCAATGTACTCATACCCATTCCCATAATGAAATCGTGACTGAACCAAATGCTACCAGTATAGAATTAGTATAACTTAGGAACAGATTAGCAGTCGCTAGTTTGGTCAATTTTTTTTTTTTTTTGTAGTCAAAAAGACAAGAAGGTAAATAGAAATGTTGTTGAAAGGTGTTATAAATTAGTAAAAACTACTCCTTGGCTGTGAATGCAAACAATCTAACTAAAATCAACCATAATCCCTCTCTATACTACCTTATCAACTAAAAAAAATTAATACTAAAACTATGACATTAGTCTGATAGGGCCAACTGATCAGGGGCATAATTGGCTTTTCGTTCATTTCGATCTTTTATAATACTAGTGATGTCTGGTCGCGCAATGCGCGATCCTGGCCCAGTCTATCTGTAGATGAAATGTTTTATATTTGAAAAAAATAAAATTTTGTATCTGGAGTGATATATTTTAGAAATGTTTGAAGGATTTAGAAATGTTTTATAAGTGTGATCATAGAAATATTTGTATTTCACAAAAAAAGAAATTGTTTTCGCCATGTATGTTTTAGAAATGTTTTATAAGTGTTACTTATTAAATATAAATATACTTAATTGAATATATGTGTTGAAGTAAATGTTAGACAAAATATAAAAGTATCCTAATAAGTTTAAATATTAGTAAGATGATTTATTGATGTTCTCCATTGGTCGTGCCAAATCAATACTTAGTTTTAGAGATTTTTAATAGCTTTGTAATAAGTTTCATCTGAAGGGTATACGCTTAAAACAAAATTGACACTTTGTAACAAAAACCTAATTGATCAATTCAATTTAGATTCCATAATTAAGAAAAGAAAACCACTCTAATTGAATGAAACATAAAGAAAAAATTATTAAAAAAAAACGCGTCACGTAAAGTGCAAAAGGGGATTTAGTAGTTTAGTTATGGTTAGACAAAAGGACAATTTAGTACTTTCTTCATATCACGTGACAATCATAGGAGGTGTTTGAAAGGGGGATTTTTATTTCTAAAATAGTAGGATATGGTACTCTTTCTTTCTCTCCGTAAAACAATTCTCTCTTTGCTCTATATTTTTTGCAATGACTTTTCCCTGCAAACGCGGCCGGCCCTGGGCTGGTGCGAACTATGCTACCTCCCAGGCGCAAGATGGAAAATGGCCCCTTTTTGTTAATGTTTATGGATTGGGGTAGGTTCAGTTTTAGTTAAATTTAAATGGGTTTGTAAGATTTAAATTTAATTATTTAAGGGCCGTCTTGTTAACGTTTGTGGGTTGAAATTTAGGGATAAAATTACAGTCCCGTTGACAATTTTAAGGGTATAATACCGTCAATTAATTAATAGCCATTAGATTAGTTTAAGTTAATCATAATATTACATTAAATGAATAAAAAAATAAAAAACCCATTTGCTTACCAAAATGAGTTATATATGATAATGCAATTTAATTGAAAGTCTTCTCTCTTTCTTCATACGTTATTCTCTTCTCTCCTTTTTTTTTTTCTTTCCTCTCTCTCGCTACCGCTGTTCCTTTTTTTTTTTTAATTCTCTTTAACGTGCTACGGTGAAACATAAGAAGGAGGCAGGGCAGGAGTTAGAGAATATTGCATTATGTTAAAAAAAAAAATCAAAAAGTCATGTTTTCTCAACAAAAAATAAAAATAAAAATAAAAATAAATCTAAAGCTACATACCATTTTTTTTTATAACTCATGAAAACATTTAATTTTTCCTAATTCACGTCTTCAATTGTTGCATTAGGTGTGGTAGTTTCCATATTACAGGCTCAATTTAAGTGAGCAATATACTTTCCATTTTTAGTTTTTAATCATGCAATGTGCTAACATTTGGTAATAATTCTCGACTTGTTTAAAATAAAATTTTCTCCAATTATTTGTAAAATTTAAGAGTGCAACATTTTATAATTATAAGGACATAATACTTTAATCTAGAGCCAAAACATTTTTAGGTGTTGTTATCGCCAAAACAACATTTAGCATCCAAAATAAATTATTAGCTTGTTTCCAAAATTGCCTCTATCCAAGTTAAGCCAAGTTCCTGTTTCTTATCCTTTTTCCCTTTTCTAATGCTACTATATAAGTTCAGCAGTGTAATTACCAGATTTAATAATTTACAAACTTTACTAATTGCGCCTTTGAATTTATTTTTTTTTTTCTACTTCCCCCTCTCCCACCAAAACCAAAGCACAATCTCATAAATTACAAGTGCATATACCCGTGAATTTTTTAATAAAACCCCTAAATGTAACTTATCTGATACTAATGGGAAGACGATCACCTACCTCTCTTTGATCTCGACGAATTCCTCGTACTCTAAATGTAGCGATCATTTCTTAATTACATATTTTGCCTTACATTAGATTCAGTATCATTTTAAGAAGATGTACACCTCTAACTTCCTATAATAATTACCTATTGTTGTTATCATTAACACATCCAGTATTTTGGAAATTATTATTGCTTTCTTTCAAACCACAAGTATATGCATGGTGTTGTTATTTTTTATAATTTTTTTAAAAAAAAGAACTACTTATCCAAAATAAGAAACACATGCTTAGAAACTCATGGATATTCGGGAAAAGCACTAGATTGGAAGAGAGAACGGGTGCGGAAAAAAAAGAAAAGAAGAAGAAAAGAAAAGGGTAAGTTATATTTGGGCGGGGACAAAATAGGAAAAAAGATTATAATTTATTTTGGATGCTAAATGTTATTTTGGAAATAATAACACCTAACATTTTTTTATTGAAAATAGTTGCATAATAACAAAGGTGCAACTCTTAATTTTATAGTGTGCAATACTTTTTTTTTTATTAAATATACAATGCTTATGTATGTATTATTTTTCATGTGCAAAAAATAATAACTTATATAAGAGGTCGTGAAATTTTTTTACGGGAATATAGTTTTCTTCAATGTGTAATACCATGCTCAAAGGTGTGATATTTCTATATCTATTATAACATTAAGAAAAAAAAATAGAAAATACTTGACCTTACTTGATTTAGATAATAATAATTCTAAATAGGCAACTCATATATTCTTTAACCTTTCTCTTTGTATATATTTGACGTGGAATATTGAAGTTTGAACATTTTATCTCTTTTGATGATGATATGTCATAGTAGTCGGTTAGTGAGCAGACCTACATTCTTAATGCCTTCAGAATCACCGAAAGTTCTTTTATTATTAACAACTTTAATTTCCTCTTTTACATTGTGCACTTGGATTAAAGTGAGCACACAAAATGTAGTTGAAATGAATAATTTAGATTATAATCGTATGAGATGCAATAGCCTAAGTATCTTATCTTAATAATACAAATATTTACAAAAAAAAAAAAAAAAAAAAAAAGTGGTCGGTCAGTTCTTATTTCATCTTCAATTTTTTTCCAACGTTATGAAATTTGGGAAAACGTAAAGCCATAGAGCAGTAAAAACACCACTGACATATTTAACTTGAAGAAAACTTGAATCTAACTTTCTTCTTGTAAATTGTATGTAGTAAGATCAAAGTAGCGTTATGAATGCTGCTCATTCAGAAGTCGGAACATAATCTAATTAAGGAAAACCCTAACAATCTGTGATTTCCAATGAAACAAATATGATGAACAAGATTTTAAACCCAAGCCCCAAAGACAAAGAAGAACAGGGCAGAATGTGCAGGCGCCTCAACCCCTTCCGTGTTGTAGAATCAGCCACAGATTGGATATGATCTATCCCCTAAGCCAAGTGTTCCGATACGACGAGTTGTCACGCAGAGATGCATCATGGGGTTTGTATTCCATTATATAGCTGGGTGGGAGTTTCAAGTGTCGCTTAATCGCGTCTCTCAGCGCCATCACAGCCTTCAAATACATGGAAGGAAATAGTTAACAATTGAACCAAGGAAACAACTAGCAAGCCTTTAATCCCACAACAAGAAGGCACCTGCTGTGTGCCAATCCACATATTCTCATCAGAGCTGAAGACTGACCTGGTTATCAGATGCATTGCGGTTCCACAGACTCAATATGTCCTCGTTGAAACGAATGCTCAATACAGCTCCACAAATGTTGTCGCCATAATCAAGTTGATCACCAACTAAAGCTAAAACCTGCATCAGTCATTTGAGATTCAATACAACAGGTAAAACATCAGCCAGATTAGAATAGCTTAAAGGTTAACTTGCAAAAAGGGTGTTTCTAAGAATTACAGAAAGCGTTCAGGATTTTTTAATCACAAGGAGAGATTGCAACCATCAGGGTTCAGTTTTCTATGCACCATCTTGGTAAGGGATGGAAGAGAGAAGAGGGGGGGGGGGGAGCATAAAGTAAGGATCTTCCACTCACCAAATCTTCCCAGAAGCGGCCAGAAATAGCTTTCTTAAATCGAATAATCCATTTTCCACCATTGCAGTTGGCAGAATCCTGTAAAAATAATAAAATTTGCAGGTACCAAAGAAACACATTTACAGGTTTGATATTTGACACAGTAAAATGGAGAAAATCTATGTTGTCAAACTCTATAAACATACCTCCCATAAAGGTCGAATTCCCTCCTTAAACAGATGCAAATCAGTTGGAGTGGGCAAAGATGACGGACGAGCCAAATGGCAATAGCTGAGCCAGAATCCCTCCACCTACAAGCAGATAAACTTACTCAAAATGACATAAAGACAGGGCACATGCTACTTTCCAACACATCAAATGCCACACACAAAAACTCATTAAAGAAAAGGAACAAGAAAAAAGGTGCAGGGGAGAAAACTTACAGTACTAAAATCCACTATCTTTTTAATGTTGTCCTCGTATGGTGCTTGAGTACGAACTCCAGGTGTTCGGCGTGTGTACCAGAAAACGAATTTGTGCTAAAATTATTGTAATGAAATCATAAGATAAGTAGCACATCAACGACTGACAGGAAAATGTCAGAAAATTAAATTGCACCATTATAAGACATAATATATCCTAAAGAGTTGTATAAACCATTCAAACCAAATAAGCAACAAATATTACAGTACTAATGGGTCAATGACAATACAGACTTCTAAAACACAGTATCCAAAGGGCACAGAAACTAGCTTCCAAAGCTATTTAGCAACCAATCCTTCACAAAGGAATAAGCATTAAATGAATATTAATGAAATAGGTGTGAACCGATAACCAACACCAATAAATAAAATCACAAGTTAATAAAAGAACAACATTGCTTTCCATATCACTATTCCACGAGCTTATTTCGTAATGCATGCAACAACTATCACATAACACCTAATTGGTTAATAAAACAGAAGTTGCATGATTAAAAACAAAAGGTAATATTACTCCATCAGTGTTGAAGTTTTCATGCACGGATGAGAGAAAAAGCAAATGCAAAATAAGAAGACCATCCACACTGAAATTCAACGATTCAAAGAAATTCACTATCCCACCGATGCAAGAACTGCCGGCAGTTTTCAATTGTTTCTCAAGTTCTGAGCAGGGAGAAACTTTGCATAGGAAGTATTGAACACGGGTCATACTTCAATGACAAAAGCAACATTCTCAAAATTCCAGTCCAATGAAAAAACAAGAGGATTGGAGAGTTCTGAAGTTGTAGTTTCACAAAATAATATAATCTGAACTGATAGGTCAAGGAAAAAAGAAAACCAACTTGCTTACCGTCACATAATCTCATCTCATTAGCATACAAGCATATATACCATTAATAAGTAGGGTTAAACCCATCCTACAAGGCTGGCTAACGAAAGCTCAAAATTGAACAAAGGCTCCATGGTCGGTTAAAGGAACTCAGCTTTCGCAAAATAATACAATCAGTAACAAATTAGAAGATGTAAGGAGTTAAAAGGTAAACTTTCAAAATGAACAGAGAGACATATCTCAGATAATAATTAGCCAAAAACGAAACTTTAGACTTTGAACTCCCAAAATACTAAAATTTGCAAACACAAACAGCTCCATCATAATATCATAAGCACAAACAAAGTTCAACATACCTAATTCAAAGGAAACTACATGGATCAGAACTGAAAGATGAACGACGAAAGTAATAATATAGATAAGGCAATAAAAGAAACTCCTTTAAACCCAGAAAAAAAAAAAGAAGAAATAAGGTAAACGGGAAAAGACCTTGAGGGGGTGGAGACCGGCTTTGAGATCGAGAGCAATGCGTTCGCGATCTTCGGCTTCTCTATCGTCGGCGTCCTTGAGAGCCAGGGCAGGAGGGTTGGCCAGAACGATGCTCTCCGAGTCTTTCTTCTCTACATCCATATGTGAGGAATGGATTGATTGTAATTCTCTATGTTTCGGATGGAGGAGGAGAAGAGGAAGAAAGTGATTGTGATTATTATTATAAGGAGAAAAAAGCCCTAATTTTAATTCTTTTGGGATTGTTTGAAAAATGGGGGAAAAGAGGCGGTGGGGGTTAGATTACAACGATTGGAAATTTTGTCAAGCGCAATACGACGCCGCATGCTCTTTAATCCTCCTTTTGGAATATAGGTTAGCATTATTTATTCTCTTTTTCTTTCAAAATTTATTTGTGTTTATATTGTTTTGATTTAATATGGATATATATATAGTATGTTAAAAAAAAGAAAAAAAAGAATGATAAGGTTAATCTTGGAATTTGTTACCTATCATTACCCTTCCCAAAACAACAAAACTAACACAATAATAAAAAGTTGCTTAAATTTGATGGATATATAACACTCCCTCTGTCTCAAAATTATTGTCCACTTTGACATTTCACTTTTAGTACAATTTGAACTAAAAATAAAAATCCAAACTAGACAATAATTATAGGACGGATTGAGTAATACATAATTATTTCTTTGTTTGTGCTTTAGATATTGATGAACAGAAGTATTATTATCAAAAACAAGTTTAACCAATTAATTAGATTAAATAAATAAATTACAAAACAAATTGGGGAAATCGCAAGTGTGTGTGGGCTACCAACTCCGCCACCATATTCCGATTCCGCGTGTTCCTCTTCATCTGCTACTACTGCTTCTATATCACTCACTCCTATCATTGGGATTTTTATTTTTATTTTTATTTTGATTATTGTCCTTGTCAATAATACCCCTCCTATACATTATTAGTAACATTAACATTATTGTTGTCTTCTTTGCCTCATTCTTTTCTCCTTTGTTGAGTTTCACACCCTCCTTTTTTTAGAAATTTACACTATTTGGGCTAATTAAAATTACTCAATTACACACGAGATTCGTACCCTAACTCTCACGTCTAGTCCAATTCCCTTCTATTATCTTGATTTTAACTAGTGTTTACCCTATATGTTGTGCAGGTTGTCGACATGTTTTATTATATTAAGTACATTATAAATAAATTTCAATATTTAAAATCTTCCCATATACTTCTCCGTCCTATAAAAATAGTCCACGTTGAGTTTTGAGTTTTACATTGTTTTACTACAAATTTAAAAACTCAATGTGGACTTTTTTTGGGGACAGAGGTACTAACTTATTGTCCATCTTTTTCGTTTTATTGATTTATGGCTTTATATTTTTAAAAAATATTCCCTTACTTTTTTTTATAATAATTTTCTAATTATTTTTACCGGTGTCGCATATTTTAAACACTCCCTCTAAAAGAAAATTTTCTCATTATTTCTTTCCATAAACTTATTTTTATTTTCCATCTTTTTATTTCCTTTTACAACATTTCCTTAGAAGTTTGTTCGTATAGTGTTTATTTTATTTTATTTTTTGTTACATAAAATTCACCTCTTTTTTTTTCTAAATTTAATGACGTATGTTTGAAGTTTTTTTCATTTCAAGAACTTCTAAAAATTATTTATTTTTCAAAATCGGTTTCGTTTTTCATATTTTCTTATTCTCTACAAAAATTTTTCTTTCATATAATTATTTTGAATATCTCAATATGCTTTTCTTCTATTGTTTATTTCTCACCAAGACCTTTATTTCTTCTTTTTTTTTTGTCATCTTGAAAAATTTTCTCCCTATTTAGTTTCACATTTTGTTTTTTCATCATAACGTTCAAATTTTTCTTTCATATGGATAAAGCTAGTGTAATGAACATACTATATTATTATATTAGTATTCTTTTATTATATTATTTTTATAATATATTATATAATATATTATTAAAAGTTTAGTTGATTAATATATAATTACATTATTATATAATATAGTAAACATTATATTATTAGTATTCTTTTTCTACTCACGCATCTCTATCATCACTCTCCATTACTACATTAACATGTAACCATAACCATTATATTCTCAGTATTCTTTTTTCTACTCACACATCTCCATCGTCACTCCATTACAATATTAACCATTGGAAACCCAACGCCAAGCAGGATCTCCATCAGCCACGCACCAATTCCATTGCCCTTGCGTATTGAACCAAGCAGCAGCCATGAAGCCCTTGAAGCTCGCGAGACCCTTCTTCCTGGTTCCTCTGTTCTTGATTTATTTTAATTTATTTTAAAACTTCAGAGATATTGTCAATTAATATTGTTGAGATACTTTTCAATGATATTTAGTTATTAGATTATGTTTAAATTTAATACTTATTTTCCCACATAAATAAACCAAGTAAAATAGATTAGTTATAGATTTTATGGATTTACAAATAAAAATTACCGTTAAATGATGGAGTGATGAGGTTGCGACATGTGGACTTGGCTATTTAATTTTACGCCATGTGGATTAGTCTATATAACTTTACGCCATGTGTCCGATTGAAAACTCTCCTTTAATATACATAGAGATATCCCTATATTACAACTTTACGTAATATTGTGTTAGAATAAACCATTTGAGTTACAAGACTATTAATGTCTTTTGCTCATGTTGATTATATGTTTTTCCCGAAATAATACTACTCTTTCCGTTCCATAATTATTGTGCAATTTGAGTTTTCATTTCTAGTTCAAATTGTATTAAAAGTAAAATTTCAAACTGAACAATAATTTTGGGACAGAGAGACTACATAATGTTGATATTCCCAAGCTTCATTTCCTTACTACTAGTAGAAGATGGTGTTACATCTACACCATTAGAAAAAGAAAAACTTATAAGTAAAAGGTAACAAAAGAAAGAATCAAAGAGTATTGGGAGTCAATAAAACAACAAATACAAGGACAAAAAATAAAATATGCATTTTTGTAATTATTAAAAATTTAGGCATGTACCGTATATATATGACACGCATTTTGAATTTATTATTATTATTTTTTTTGGAAGTGAAAGAAAGAAAAGACCGGTGAAGTTGACCACTATATATATATATATATAATTATCCTGCCTCTCCTCCATCTCCACCAAAAACTTTTCTTCATTTCAAAGATTTTTTCGAAGCTCTTTTTGTACCTGTGGGTTTTCGGCCATCAATCGGAAAATCAAATCAAATCTATGATGGGGATGATTAGGTGTTTGATCTGCTGCATCATTATCTCCCTGACTTTGTTCCTCTTTCCCACCACCGCTGCCGCTGCATCTCATCCTTCCTTCCCGTTTCTTCTCAGTCTCACATCTCAATGCCCTCTTTCCCTCCACCCCACCAAATCCCTTCAATATGTAAGTTCTTTTTCCTTTCTTTTTTTTTTTTTTTAATGTCAAATCGAGATTTGTATTTTAGTTTTAAGTTCGTGCCTTCCCGTTTAAAAGAATTATGTAATGTTTGAGGTGAAAACACACACACACACGAACATTGATCGGTTTGGCAAATTCACTCACCAGATTGATTGACTGTGTGTTAGTTTTATTATTAAATCTGAGAAATTGCACTTCTGCTGATGTTCTCTTAAATGGTTTTTTGGGTAGATTTAGTGGTTTTAGTCTTTGACTCAGTCATACGTATTACCTTTTCCCTCATGGTTCCTTAGGGTTGACCTTATCTTTCAGTTTGAGGGTCTTTACTGGTTCTTACTCCCTGCTTTCCTAATTAATATAAGGCACAAATTAACTCTAAAGTTGGTTCAAATTTGTGCACAAGTGGGTATGTTGAGCTGTCTGAATTGGACAAGATAGTTTTTTGGAAGTATGGAAATTCTGATTCTTAGTTGGTTTGAACAAGTAGGTATGTTATTCTGGCTGATTTATCACGATAAATTGTGTGCATTTGTAGCTTCAGATGATTTCCTCACGTTGTTTAGGTTAAGGTGGGTTGGTTACCATATGCATTCATTCAAGACTGATTATAGTTAGATTGGAGTATGTTGCCCCCGTGCGGGATCCTCTTGAGTCGAGTTATGGTTCCGCAGATGTCTAGTGAATTTCCATCACTACCTTTCACGGAAAACAAACACCCAAAATTATCTTAGAGATTGGTGGAGAATTGTACTTCAGAAGTGAGAACTTTTCACCTTAATGGGTTTCATTTTTTGTGAATCATGCAGCAGAGGTGTATGTTATTGTTATTGTATAGTTGTAGCATCGACAAGTGGTTGCAAAGTATTATGCTTGTATCAAAACATGCCATTGCATGGCTTCTTTTAAGAGTTCGTTTGTCTTTGGCTTATACTGAAAGAGAAAATCCTTTGGCCATCTGCGGTCACTGTGTGTATATTGTGTTTTGAGTGTACTTCTGCTAGATGATAACGACCGGGTGTCCTGAAGGCCCACGGGAACCATGAAAGAAAACTTGTGTGACTTGTGTCTAGTCACCCTTTTGATTGTAGTTATCTATCACTCTCTCTATCTTGATAACTTATCTTAATAAGGCATTACTGAGTTCGCGGTGATTTCAGGTGAACGGTGACTACCTCGAGAGAGCTCTAGCCACTAAAGGGAAAAACAGTTATACTGCTGTGCTCTTTTATGCTTCTTGGTGTCCCTTTTCTCAAGCTGCCCATGTGAACTTCAAGGCGTTGAGTTATATGTATCCACATATTGAACATCTAGCCGTTGAACAATCATCGGCTATGCCTAGGTGGGTGAATCTTGTTTGCGTGTTCTGTTTGTGTCCGTACTTTCCTTCGCACCTTCTAATCTGAAAATTGGAAGAAGAGTGTAAAGTTAATTGATGTTCTTCATCTTCTTTTCTGTTTCCTTGTTGGGAGGGCTGGAATTTTCTGGATCTAATTTACAGTTCTTTTTTTTTGGTAAATCTAATTTAGGTTTTTGCTCCATGTAGTTTGCTGTTAGTGTCACAAGTATTGATATTGTTCAGGAGTGATAAATAAATAAAAATATTGGAAAGTTTGACTTTTGTCCATACAATGATGTAGTGTCTGTCTTAAATGTTGTGTTTTTGTTGTTCACTGAGATGTTTTACTGGATTTTCTTTCTTTCCAGCCTGTTCTCCCGGTATGGGATACACAGCTTGCCTACTATATTAATGGTAAATCAAAATTCAAGAAAACGATTTCATGGCTCTGCTGAGTTGGATCCTCTTATCGAGTTCTACCAGAAAACTACAGGTGGGCATTTCCTAAGTTCTGTACATTTTTGAAGTTGTGCACAATTCTGTTTTTCGTGCTTTCTTGTTGTAGTGAGGTTTGATAGTTTCAGATGGCGTACTTGTATCCAGTGAAGAGTCATTTTCTACTCAGTATTCAAAAATATTACTTTGATCCTTTGTTATTGAATTGTAGAATGCTTGGTGTACTATGATGAAGAGGTAAAATTTGTTGATTTCATAAAGAAACCTCAAATTTGTTGGGGGGAAGCTGTTTTTCAGATGGCCTCTCGGTTTACTATCTGACTTTATGAGAAAACTAGTGACGTTAGTACAATTTGGCTTCCATCAACATTAAGCTAATGTGATACTTTGCTGTGCAGGAAGTGAACCAGTTCATTATGTTATTCTGGACCAGTCTGAGAGCTCAGTGTCCAGTCAAAAAACGATTATGCAATCATGGATTGGGGCATCCATGGAAGAGATATTTGCTAGAGAACCGTACCTGATACTCTCAGTTTTGTTCATCATTATAAGGTTTCTTATATATGTAGCTCCGAGAATCCTCTATGCTCTTAGACCCATCTGGGTGTCATACCGGCCTCGTATTAACTTGGAAATTTTTGGGGAGACTCGTCAAATCTTGGGCCACATACTTCATATTATTGATTTGAAGAGAATTTGGAGTAAGCTGAGGCTTTGCAAAACCAGAAACTTCCATCGGGGCGCGAGGAATGCACAAGTGTGGGCATCTTTAGCATCTGTCTCTTTAGGTAAAACCTCAACATCATCTTGAGGATGCATTTTGTGGGGAAGGGACCTTCGATCTAAAACAGGTGTCATGGGGGCTAGCTGTCTCACCTAAATGTGGTTGAAAAAGGGAAACCTTGTAGCACTAGCCTCATTGGTTGATAGTCATGTGAACTTGAACAAGTGAAAATCCTTATGGAAGGAAAAAGCTTTAGTTTTGTGAAGGGAGAGGTACTGTTTTTTCTTGAGTTGTTTTCCTCTACTTCCCGCATCCCTGCATTCTTGCTAGGGGGAAACATAGGCTGTGAACATTCTTGTAAATTTTAATCAGAATAGCTAGCTTAACACGTGTATATTGTGTAACAAGAATCTTTTTAACCTCAGGAAGCCATTTTATGTTAAACCTGGTTTTTTGTGTGATGCATCCATCTGTGGTTTGTAGTATCTGGATAGATAGACATCCTTTATTTCTTGTCTTTACCTTTTGTTTTTAGTTTTGGTGTGCTCTGATGACTGATCTGTTCGTTGTTGTTGAGTGGCAAAATTACCTTTTCTTTTTGTTGCCCGTGGAGATGCTGCCCCAAGGCAAGCTCTTTTCATTTTGTATTTAGTTTTCTCTGATCTGCTCACTGTTGTTGAGTGACAAAATGACCTTTTTCTTTTTTCTTGTGTGTGGAGATGCAGTCCCAAGACAAGCTCTTTTCTCTACTGTTTTGGTAGTAGAACTGGTTACTGTAGTAACATATGACCTTCAGATTGGTCTTATACATTTGGCCCAATTAATATTTTCGTCCCGTATATTAATATTTGGAGGGACTGGTTCCAAACATTTATGTCCGCAACTTTTTTTTGTAGCATTTCACTATGCAGGCACTTTTTCTGTTCGGTCAGCGGCGGTCCACAAAGCACTGAGGGTTATTTTTATCTTTTCATATGAATCTTAATTTCCATTAAATTCAAAAAATTTTAATATTAAAATACTCAGATTAAATTATTAAAATATTATTAAAAATTTAAAAATATTTCGGGAATTATTTGTCATTTTCCTCTACCCTTTGTACAAAGTTAAATTTTTTTTTCCTAATTACTTTTTACCCCATAAAACTTATTCAAAAATACACTTTTACCTAATTTTAGTTATCTTCAATACCCTACGTTTAATAAATGAGAAATTAAACAGTAGCTCATTATTGTTGTTACCATTGATATATAATTTATTCAAACTTATTTTCAGGAAGAAATTGTCTCATATTTATAAAGTTTTCTAATTTGATTTTTAAAACCCAGTTTTAAGAGGCCGGAAAAAAAAAAACCATCACTTTCTTCACATCTCCCCGTCAACTTCATCATCATCCTAAACTAATCCTCTCTCACTTATCAAGGGTTACTGCACCATCCTCTCCTCCTGACGGCCCACACCACCAATTCCTCCGCCGCTCACCTTCAGCATCGCTTCACACTAAGAATTGAAGATGGAAAATGACGAAGACGATGAAGGCGGCAACTCTTTAGTCTCAATAATCTGCAAACTCCAATGAGCTACGGTGTCATTTTGAATTGAATTGTGGACAAATATTCTTTTGTGTTTTGAAATTGGATTCTCATATAATGATTTTTTTTCTCAATTTGGAAAATTTTTGTTTTTGACCGGAAGTCAGATCTGGGGAGGACAAGGTTGGCAGGGAAAATATTCTAAACTTGAGAAAAATAGAATGATTAAGAAGAATGATTTTACTGTATAAAGGAGAATATGAAAAGAAAAGAAAAAAATAAGTGGTGCAAATTATTATTATTATTACAGTATTATTTTTTGGGTGGTGACGGTTGGCAACGGTGGTGGTATTGTCATGTTTTGGGCGGCGGCGGGGGAAGGGGGCAACAAAGATGGGGAAGAAGAAGGAAAGAAGAGAGCAAGAAAGAAACGTTTCTTGCAGGAGAAAAAATATATTTTATGATAAAAAGGTGAAATATTCAGAAAATGTTAATAATTGTCCATTTTCACCTTTTGATATAAATTCAAAAAAAAAAATTAATTCTACAAATGCTACTGCACCATTTTACAAAGCAATTAGTAAAAAAAATTTAACTTTGTACAAATGGTAGAGGAAAATGACAAATTTTCAAAATATTTTTTAACTTTGGTTTTTAATAATTTTTTAACATTTAATCTGAATATTTTAATATTAAAATTTTTCGAATTTAATGGAAATTAAGATTTATATAAAAAGACGAAAATAACCCTCAGTACTATGTGGACAATTATCTGTCGAACGGAAAAGGTGTCAGAATAGTGAAATATGACTAAAAAAGTTACAACCATAAATGGTTGGGACCAATCTCTCTAAATATTAATGTATGGGACGAAAATGTTAGTGTTGGCAAGAATTAATGGAGAGCAAATGCTCCGAGATATTAGAGTTGAGCAAATCCGGTGAAGAAGCCAATGTATTGTCCGCGGAAAAGCATATATATTAGCAAGCGGCTTCCTTCATTCCACATGGAAGAAAAAGAAGCGCGACGGCTACTCTTATTGGTCACACTTGACGCTAGGTGGGTCACTGAGATTTTGTCACCCCCAAGCATGAACGAACAATTGTTTTGGTTTGGTTGAGTATTTGGAATTTGGAAAGAAGCGAATGCCAAATGTGCTTCTTCTTCCAATGAAGTCCCTTTTAAATCTGATTGAAAATGAAAGGGACTGAAGTTAGGGTGGTGGTGTGTAAAGGACAGTATCAAACAAGTGTCAAAGGGTGGATTGTACGATTGGTGGTATAGCTAGAAAATATCCCGAAAAGAAAGTATCTCGTAAGGTTGTCATGTGGAATCAATCTAGTATATCAACGTTAGTGCTGGTTTTGGTTACCCTAGAAATGTGATAATTGAATCCTAGAACTTTTTTTCAGATAGAAAAAAAAAAAAACGATATTCATTAATAAAGAGAAATAAATAGAAATTCTACTTTTTCTAATAAACAGAAATTTACATTGAGTTTGTGGCCTGTACGGCCATCCTCTTCTGTTGGAGGCAAAAAAAAAAAAAAAAGGATTAGTTTTCCTTTTAAACACAAATATCAAAGTAAAATTTAACACCTTCCATACAAATTTTTAATTTACTTTTTCAAATTTATTTTTTTTACTATTTTCAAAAAACCATCTCCAGAACACCTTCACTACTGCCGATGTCGCCATCAACCATTATCGCTTGCTAACCCGTCGATGTTTTTAATATATGTAATGAAAAAAATCACCTATATAATTTTTTAAATTTCCACCGAAATCACATTTTAAATCACCTTTCAAACCCAAATAAAAAATTAAATAAAGAGTTGCCCATAACAAGAAGATGTCGTCCTCTCCATATATGTGACTATATGAGTATTTCTGGAGAGTAATATTGGCAAGAAGGGTTCATATGTGGATGGATTGTCAAACTTTTAAAGGCCTGGCAAGTGGCGTGTTGTTTGCAATCCGCATCAGTTTGGGGTTGTGGTCCTTTGAGTTGAACACTACTACTTGCTTTGTTGTTTGCTTGCTGAAGCCACCTTCTTCATTCATTCATAAGAATGATCATTGAATAGTGAGAAATGTATGCTAAATTGCTTCTGCAGCTCGTTTTGAATGAAGAAAATTGTCAATATCTTCTTCTTCTTCTTTTTTTTTGAGTCAACACAAATGATATGTACAGTGAAAAAAATAGTAAAAAAAGATAGTGAGTGATGTAGAGTATTTTTCTTGGCCCCTAAATTTTTGTCACTTTCCCGTTAAAATTTTATCTTTCTCTGAAAATCACATTTTTACCCTTAATTAATAAGTACATATATTTAGTGGGGATGGTATATTTGTCTTTTCATTAATCACTATTCCATTTCACTATAATTTATCATTGTCTCCATCATAGATCATTAATTTATAGGATGGATTCCTAGTGTGAAGAAGAAGAATCCTTCAAGTTTCAAATTACATACACATCCGCAACGTTCCAAAACCTGGCATGGTCTGCAAAAATACATGCTAGTATATGTCATATTAATAAAACTAAGTTTTACGAAATATGATAATTCCAAATTATAGGTCTTGACCTCTTTCATTGTACATGAGATATACTAATAATCTATTACTACTAATAATCCATTCTTGTGAAGAACTGCGTATGTAATGAGGATTTATAATATTCAAATATGTCAGTGTTTTAATGTTTGTGAAGGTGATTGTTATACGTAAAAAGTAGCTAGCTACATGGGATGGAAGAAAGGGATATAGCAAGATTAAAAAATTAATCTTCTGTTTATGTATGAATAATATAGTTTTTTAGAGGCAAGATGACATTTTTTTTTTGTTTTGGTGGTGTTGAACGGGAATCATCAAATGTAGATTGAAAGGGTGTAGGACCAGAAATTACTTGTATTATAGAGCTTGACATGTATGATGAATTTGGTACAAATGTCCAATGAAGATTCAGACTTTGAGTGCTACGTACTACTAATAGATTCATCCAACAAATGGGAAGAACAGTTGGAAGGAAGGGAAGGGAAGATGATGATGATGATGATGCATTTGTTTTGTTGTGTTTTTGGGTTTAGGGTTTTCCCTTTCATTTTCACTTCATGTGATGAAATGAACCCACTTTGAGTCAGCATCATTCCAAGCAAACTCCCCCAAGCAATTCCTTCTTCTCTCTCCTTTTTCCTTTTTTTTTTTTCCTAAAAATCGAATACAAGGAAGAAAATTTAAAGAAAGAAAGACCAAAGAAAAGTGTTTCAAAAAAAAGAAAAAAGAATGTGATTAGAATGGAATCTCTCAATATATATCTTGATCTATGCCAAATTTTATTTATTTTTTACTTTTGAACTTTTCCGCGGACATATGTATGAATAAAAAGAGGATGTTGATATCATCGTCGTCATCCTCCCTTTTCCAGCCTTTTTCTTTTACATTTATGACATCATAATAAAAATTGAAATGGTCATAGATGACAAAATAGATTAAATCACTCGTAGTTTGTAAATTAGTATATTAACAATACTACTATACTAATAAAACATGGTTACACCATTCTCGTCATGTATGGGTGTACGTCATTTTTTAATATAAAGTAACTGGGCAAGTATTACTGTTTCTGTTTCTGATTTGAATTTTAATATAAAGTTAAAATTTCAAATTAGGCAACTTTTTCAGGAAATTGGGAATGTACTAATTACTGCACCTCTATTTCCCTAAATCTTACAACTACTACTACTACTGTGTTAGAGGAATCATCTAGAGAGTTGCTTCTTTATAAAGCAATGGAAAGAGTGGAGGATTGGAATTATATGTTCATAATTCTTCTCCGACACTCACTACTAAACTACTACTACTAGTTACTCCACCGATGATGATTTCGTGATTAATGATGGGCTAATCAAATTAAGAGAGCTTCAGCAATAGTAATACTAATAAAATATATTCGCATTTTGTCTTATGAAAAGAATTCAAATTATTATATATATGTTTTTAGTACAATATAGGAGTACAAGTTATATTGTGAGACAAGGTAGTAGTAAGTTTTATTTTTTTAAAAAAAATGAAAAATAAAAATAATCCAATGAAATAAATGGCTTTTTTCTCAAACTCATTGATTGGGTCCCGCAAAGCTCAAAAAGTATCATCATCTGTCGGCTATTTTCAAAGGATAAGAAAGGATTCCACGATAACAATAGGGATTAATTAATTGCAAATAATCCCCCCTCAAGTTTCTATAATTTGTTAACTGACTCAAATCGTCAACTTTGTATAACTTTTGACTGGTCAATTTGAGCCAGAAATTTGAACCCTCGGGATCAAAAAAATAAACGTGATAAGATATCTGTTATATTTTACATTTCAGCAACTACTGTAATAATAGAGATCCCGAACAAATCGGTAGATGAAAATAACGATAACTTGCCGATTTAGTATCATATATTCATATTTGACAATATCTAAAAACTGTTAGATTTAACAAGAATAAGGTGAGATGATCTGTTGCTTAAAGAGATGATGGATTGGATGTGATCCTCACAAATTGGAAAGGTCAACTTTGGTTAAAATCGAAATCTGAACAAGAGTGTTTTGAAATCTCAAATTTATTTTCCAATTTAGATTTTCATATTTAGTTCAAATTGTAGTAAAGGTAAAAATATAAATTATACAATAATTTTGGGATATAAGGAGTATGAGAAAAGTGGAGGGAGGGGTGCTTTGCAATTATCTTCGTTGGAACTTAGATATATATTAAAAAGGCATTCTTCTGTTATTAATTATCCAACAAGAAGAAAATCTACCAGCTTCTTCCATCACACTCCAAAACAATCTTCAAAGGGAGAGGGGGACAAGAAAAGAAAGACAAATTCATATTTATCTCATTGGACCTTCCTTTCCTTTTCTTTTTTTTGTAAGGAAAAAAAAATGGGATTAATTATTTTCTTTATTTAGACATAAATTAGAGTATTAATTAAAAGGAAAAATAAGTGAAATAAATAAATATAGAGAGAGAGAGAGAGAAAGAAAGAAAGGAGAGGTAAAAATGGTAACGGTGGTGGCCAAGTCTGAATAGTAGTCCTTCCGATTCCTGCTTTTGCTCTGCATCTTCTTCTTCTTTGTTCCTCTTCTTCCCTTACTTAACTGCAAATCCTCCAATTAAAGCCTCCCATGTTTCCCACTTTCTCTCCTCTCTTCCCTATTTCCCCCCAATTTAATCATTCATTCATCAATCCCTTCTTCTTCTTCTTCTGATTTCAATCTTCTTCATAGATCAAAACACACACACACACACACACACAAGGAAAAAAAATGGAGGGTCTTGATGAGTGGGAAGTACTATCTGAGAGTGGGGGTGGATTCCTTGATATCCATGAGGATGATGGCAGCAACTTTTCCACACTTTCAGACAACCTTTTCAAGAATTACTTCCGATGCCCTTCCCCTCGGACAGCTTCTTCTCCTCCACCTCCTCCTCTCCCTAATCATCATCAGTTGGCAGAGGCAGAGGAGGAGGAGAAGAAAATTGTTGTCACCCATGATCTGACCATCACCAATCATCATCCAACTGATGTTGTTGAGATTGATGATGATAAAGATCCAAACTTTGAGGAGGAGTTGTTGATCAGCAGCAGCTCCCCTAAAAAACAGGTTTTTTTCGTCAAGAAAGAAACTTTAACCGAATTTGTCGACATGATGAAGTTGGACTTGGAATCCCCCAAATCCAACAAACAACTCAGTAGGCCTTCATCCCCTACTCAGTTGATGGGTCACCAGTTTGAATCTGGTGAACAAGCAGCACCAGATGCACAGGTTTCTTCACCCAGAAAGATGATGATGATGATGATTGATGACCAGAATGATGATGATGATGATGTGGTGGTGGAAGATCAGGATCAGATTAATCAAGGTGGAACTAACATGAACAACAACAATATTTTAAAGTGGAGCTTAAGTGGGATTGGGGCGATTTGTTCCTTCGGAGTTGCCACCGTTTGCATCTTTGTATTGGGAGGTCTCATCAAGAATTCTGGTCATTCCACTGCCAGAAAGCCATACCATGATCAACATCCTCCTCCTCATCATCAGAAGCTTCAGTTTCACATTTATGCTGAGGATAAGGTATGCTTTTATTACATTAATATTACTTCCCCAACCAAAGAAGAAGAAAAAGGATTTATCTTTCTTAGATTTGGATTTTCATTTATCTATCTTATTTTATTTGCCTGATCTTCTGGAATCCATGGAATTGGGGAACATTCTAACAGAATAGCGTTGATTTTGTCCAAAACCACCAGTTATCCAATTTTTGGCTTAATTACACTAACCTACCCCCTCTAGTTTGTACAAATGATCAAAACAAAAGAATTTTTTTTTTGGAGGGGCTAATAATTGAACACTTGACCACGCACCAGAATTTGGCCAATTACGATTCACACTCCTGGTGCTTGATCGATTAGCATGAAATTTTTATGAAAAGACTAGTTAAAATCCAGTAGTAATGTATGAATGGAAGTATAAAGAAGTATATGTAATGAAATGAAACTACTACTTAAAACCAACAATCAAAAGGAAGTGTTTTTCTCTGCAGATTTTTTCGGAATGCTAATATTTTGATACATACATTCATTTGGGAATGAAAAATTGTAGAGGCTGTTGAAGCATGAATCAACCAAATTGAATGAAGCCATTTCAGCGGTGAGAGACATCCCCTTCAGCAGAGCTCACATCACTTTTGGCGGTTACTGTGATCATCTCCATCATCGTGCTCACTGAAGCAAAAAATAAACCCCCCAACTGTTTTTTATTTACTTATTAAACTTTCCTCCAAGTTCAACCCCTTTTGTTGTTTTGTTTGGGTTTCGTGGCTCTATTTTTGTACATATGGAAACATTTACACAATATAATTTTGTGGTGTTTTAGGTCACATTGATTTGATTTTAATAGTAAGTAGTATGGTTGGAAGGATAATTATTGTCATTTTGGATGGGAGGAACGTGTTAGATCAGTTACGCTAATGTGTAGCAAGAGTAAAACTTGAAGTAATAATAATGAGATTAGATGATGGGAATTGGGGTGGGGGCACAAGCCATCACATCCCGACGGTGACAACCAAACTAAATACGGTAGAAAAAGAAAATGATGCCCCCCGCGGCAGTTACGTCCTCGAATTACCACCATTCCATCAACATTTTGTCTTTCCTATTCAATGCCAAGAACTGGATGTAAACTTAAAAAAACTTTTTTCTGGAATGCTGAGTTTATGAAGGAAAAGAAACAAGCAGAGGAGAAGGAAGAAGGAAGGGAAAATACACAAATTCCAAAAATCATATATATCTTGTTATTATTGCTCTCATTAAACGAAGTCAGGCGAGAGCAATGTAATGAATTAGGCTATTAGGGGGGGAATGTGTATGAACCAAAAGGAAAAGAACATATTTTGATGGATGGATGAGTGAAAGAGTAAGGGGGGAAGGTTCCAGTTTGGTATGGTGGGGGTAATATTTGTTTCACGTAATAAGAGAGTGAGTTTGCATGTCTGAAAGAATAACAATTTTATAAAAATCCAAATGGAGAATCTAAAGATTTGGATGATGATGATGATGATGGATGGCATTGGATTAACTAACAAGAAAAAGGTGAATATATTTTTTAATAACAATTAATTAATCCTCCCCAAGAAAAGAAAATAGATAGGAGTACCATTTGTATTGAACAAGTTAGCAGTAATTGAAGAGATTGGGACTTTGGTGGGGGAAGGGGATGTTTGAAAAATCTGTTAAAAGCCAATCCAATGTAGCATTCAATTCCACGGCCCCCCCGGGCCGTCACCAAATTTAATGTACACCACAATTTCTTTCATTTTGAGGAGTTGATATTTATTTGGAAATTGAAAGCGAGTACTCGCTCCGTTCCAAAATAAGTATCATTCTTAGAAATTGAAAGCGAATACTCATTCCGTTCTAAAATAAGTATCATTCCAGACTTTTCACACAGTTTAAGAAAATATTAAATATGGTAGTTAAATTACTAGAATATCCTCAACCAACCCTATTAAAATAAATGCTCACCAATAACATTATTTTTTTTGAGGGTATGTTTGAAAATTTTTGAGAAAAAATGTATTGAAATCTGAAAACGATATTTATTTTGAAACTTTTCCATTTTACTAAAACGACACTTATTTTGAAATGGAGAGAGTAGTATATATGTAGTATTATTATGTTGTAGTATTATGTGCTGTTGCCCATCAAATCACTTGGAAAGAAAATTATTATATAAAAAAAAAAGAGAGAGAGCGGCAAAAAAATATCTAATAAAAAGAGAGCAGCATAAGTGCAATGTATGTACAATCAAACATATCAATTAATGATATAGATATCTACTGGTACAGTGTTTGCGGATTGATCTCAGCCCAAAATATCTAAACTTAATTATCGACAAAATGGAATGAAGATGAAGCATCTGCGTAGTAGTAGTAGTAAATCGGAGGAACAATCATCATAGTTTGTGGGGTTACAAACACCTTCCAAATAAGTTAAAATCGGAAAACAGTCTTCCATTCCAAAACACTTTGGGCTGCCCTTTTTTAAGTTTCAAGTTATTGAAAAAGAGGTGCTTCTTTTACATGATCCTAGTCCAATAAAAATCATCAACAAATTCATCCAACTCCTCCTGCCTGCATATTAATATTCCTTGTGAATGTGAGTACCAAACCAAAATGAATTATACAAATAACCACAATATATATATATATTACACACACACGCTACAAACACAAGAACAAAAAAACCTAAGGGATTTTTGTAGTGGGGTGCCCGCGGGGGAAGTATCAGTTTTAAAAAGCTCGATTTTGGAGCATCATCCCCTTTTTCAAGGTCTGCCCAAATTTTAGTGTGTCTTCTCATCATCTACATCCCCCGGATCCATTATTCATATCTCAAAGTTCATACAAAACATAAATAAATATGTAACAAGGAATGTATCGGATCGAGACAAGAGCCAAGCCCAATTGAGAAACCTGGGTTGCTCGGTCAGTTGATCGACCAAAATAAAATAAAAAAAACAATGTCCCTATGGCTGGTCTCAGGCAGAGCATCTCTTTCATCCTCAACATTGTCCAGATGCCGCCTTTACCAGCTTCTTCTTCCTTCCCCCATCCATTCATTGTAATACTACTACTCGAAATGAAATCTTGGGCAAAACTTATTACTTTTGAAATAAAAACAAAAATATAATCATCATCAACTATAGGAGTATATCCAAGCCAAACCAATCCTATTCACCAAATACCAACCAAACCAATTACCTTAAACACACACACACAATTTCAACAAAATACCTTTCAAACATTCACTCTGTTGAAGAGCTTTGTTAAAAGTACAGAGGCCTTTTTCATATATATATATATACTCCTATTTGGGAAACCCGAGGTAGAAGAGGAGGCAGGCGGCTGCACAACCTAATATAAGGACCAGGGGGTGGAGATGATTTTGCTAGGGTTTTTTTTTTCCCTTGTTTTGGGCTACAGGCTGATGGGCTTGCTGGTTTATTATGGTGGTTTTCTTAAGCCCACACAAAAGACAGCAGCAAGCACAAGGGTCATGCCTCCTGTACAATGAAATAAACAAGTCCCCCCCCCCCCAAGTAAAAAGTAAAAAAGCCATTTCACATTTTACATTTATTATTACAAGTGATCTTTTGTCACGCCGAATGTGAAAAAAAAGGCCATTCATGCTGCTGCTGAGGCTTTAACTTAATGGCCCAGCTAGCACGTTGATACCGCCTTCCTGGTGTCTCTCAACCACCAAATGTTTATATACATCTACAAATGTTGTCATCTTTTATTGTAGCAAGCCCAAAAAAAAAAAAAAAAAAAGAGGATGAAGTTTAGTTAAATGTTGGTATTGTTTGATGGCTTGTGAGATGATGTATGCTTAAATGAAATTTGCCAGTTGAGTTGTAGTAGTGTCTTAATCATCCTATGATGAAAGACGTTACTGTTTACAAAGGAAGAGCCTTTGTACCACAAAAGTTGAAACTTGTCGAGAGAGTCTAACAATAATTGGACTTAGTAAAAGCTTCTTGTGTCGATCATCTTTCTTTCTTTCCCATTGGGCTTCGCTCTTGTCCCCGATCCAATACATTTTTCAATTTCTTTCTTTCTTATAGGGAAAAAAAAAACACTACTACTTATTTGAGTTTATTTTGAGGTATAATAATAATGGACTAGATGCTTGCCTCGGGCGAATGCTCGGCGTGCCGCTTATATTTTTAAATTGATTAAATAAAAAATACTAATCATTCTTAAAAGGTTAAAAAAAATAAAAGAATAAAAAATCGATTGAAAATACAGGAATTGAGTTATTACACATAAATCTATGCCCAGATTTACAACATTTAATTTACAACAGTTAACTTATGACTGGATTTACATAAATTATAAACCGATATTTACAACAGTAAAATTAAAAAAATCATTCTTAAAAAATCAAATTTCTTTCATGACAGCTTATTTTTTCTCAGTTGTACAAAGAGATAGATTGATAATTGATGTCAGATTTTAAGTAATTGATTTACAGGCCCGGTGTGAGAGAGAAGCGGAATAAAAGAGATCCTTTGAAATTGGGGATTGGAAAGACATTATTTGTGTTTCACTTGATTTAAGAGAATTTCTTTACATTTGATTTTATCAACTAAATATTGTTATTTTATGGGATTAGTATATACCTATAATTAAGAGATTTTTATATAGCTATAATTAAGGGATGTATGTATTTATCTGTTCCATTTTTTTTTCTGATTAGTTAGAATGTCACGTGTCAAAAATAATTTTGTATTGAAAATGACTTTTGGCGTGAAAATTTCCATTGCGGTGCTGACACATGTTTTTTTTTTGCTGCTTTAATTAAGTATTAGACATTTGGTGGGGGATGTAGATGATGAGAAAGTTCACTATATTTGGGCTGAGCTAAAATAGGATTGATGCTCCAAAATTCGAGCTTTTTAAAACTGATACTTCCTCTCCCCCCCCGGTTCTTCCTTGATATTGTGTGCAGGTATGAGACATCCAGTCATATCATGGTATCTTCAATGGAAGGACAACCATTTCATAAATTGCAGGGTCTGTTCAATGCCTAGCTACACTGCCTCGCTAGTTTCTACAGCGGGCAAGAGGCAGGCGGGGGGGTTAAAACTCACTCAAAAAAGCTGTGGTAATCAGGCAACATAAAAAGCCCCGACACTAATAGAAGTGGTGGTAGTGGTCTTCGAATGTTGCCGGAGGTGATTCACTAATTTGTTTTTATTTTTTCCCCACATTGTTTTTAATTTATTTCCCAAGGTTACCGGAATTTTTTATATTTTTTAACAAAAAAAATTATAAGGGAGACAAGAAAAAAAAAAAAAACAACCACCAAAGAAACAACTATTTATACAAGAATAATAATAATAATAATAATAATAATAATAATAATAATCATAATTGTCATCATAACAGGAACTACGAGTAAGTAGAAGAGAAAGTTACAAATCAATGAAATGACTAAAAGGGGAGTATCAACTCTCCACACTCACTCCTTACATCTCATCAAAGAATCTTCTTATAAACAGAAGCAGAGGAGAATTTAAAAAAAAAAAAAGAATTTCCCCAAATTGCCCAATTGCCTTTTTTTTCTCCTCTCTCACAACTCTCTCTACACAAAGAAGAAGAAAATGGGAAGAGGGTTAAACAGTGGGAAACCCCCATTCCCAAAAATTGGAAAAAAAATAAAATAAATGTCAAGAATGGATTTCAGAAGCGGGGGTGCTTAATGAATTTAGAAAAGCATTCCCATGAGGAGAGCCGCAGCGGATGCGAAGACGGCGGGGACGAAAGCGGCGGCGTCAGAGGTCGGAGCGGGAGCGGGAGCCGGTGGGTCCGAGGCAGCCACATTTTGAACGGCGGACAATGCCACCAACATCATGATGACTGCAACCATGACCACCTTCATGTTCTTCATTGCCTCCATGTTCTTTTTTGTAATTTGGTTTTCTCTGTGTTAGAGATGATATGCTGAAATTGTTTTTATGGGTGAAAGAGAGAACTTTGAATGAATAATGAATAACAATGTTGGAGATATGAGGAAATTTGAGGGGGTAAAGTAGTGATATATATAAAGGCTAAAAAGCAAGAGAGCAGGGAGGAGGACCATCCAACGGAATAATGAATGGGAGGCACACATAACGGGCAGCTCATCCTTGGGATTTGGGGGGCTGCCCGACTAGACCGTTGGCTCCTTTTTATCTCCTCACATGCCCTGGGTGGTGTGGATTTCCCTTTTTGTATGGCTTATAAATTACTAGTAATATGAAATGATTTACTTGTATTTTTTTATTTTCTTTTTAAAAGGAATGAACTTGTATGTTTCCCAAATTGGAATGATATTTTCAATAACACCATACACACACACACTATGAATATTCTTCTTGGTATTTTTTTTCTTTTACAGTGGAATGACTTTATGTAAAACCAAGTTAACTCTACCACGAAGAAATAAAATAAAATTTATCAAAAGTAATCAAGACGATATGATTGACGATTCAGACAGAAATTTATTATGAGTAATTAAGACGATACAAAAAATAATTATAGTTAGAATTTTAGACGAAAATGATACTAAAAAAGAAAAAAAAAAGAAAAAGAAGATAATACTAAAATCATAAATAGAAGTAGGACCGTATATTTGGGGTAAAAATTTATTTGACCGGGCTGCCCGTTAGTTTTGATGACAGGGTGTACTAATTTGTATTGGGTGGGAAACAGCTGTCGCCAACGGTTCAATGGGCTGGCAATTGGGTGTGTTCATACTTCATTTCTGTTGAGAGGTCCCTCCTCCATCTTCTCCCTCCCATTTTGATGATAATGATTTTTTTGATTAGTGGGCCAAATGGTTTTTTCTTACTTTCTTTTCCTTTTCTCATTCAACATTTTGGGTTTTAATTTTGGGCTTTTTGCTTTCAATAACATACTCCTACTAAGCTAAGCTCTGGTCGTCTATTTAGTCGATTTCAACTAATTTTCCCCCAAGAAAATAGAATATTACAAAAACTTACCCACCAAAAAACAAATTGTTGTTCTTCACTTATTCTGCAGAAATGGAGTGTTAGGGCACCTGAGAGTTGTGAGGTGGTGTGTGATTGTTTACACATCATCGTGATGAAGCTTCTAGAGAAAGAAGCATTTGATGATGAATATCGTGAACTCTTAAGGTTGTCGTAATAATAATCATTACGCTTTCATATGCAGTTCTAATTGACCTAAACATGTTTTCTCTCTAATTCTCTTTATGTGTGTATAGTGTGTAGAATCTGTTGAGGAGAGAGGAAAACACCCAAAACATACTCTCTCAATGTTACACTAAACACTTGTGCATCTTACACCTTTGGCTATCTTGTTCTGTGGTTGACTTTGGCTGTTTATAGTAAAACGGCCGGTCAACATCGAACTGGACGAAAAAGTGGTGGAAACAATGAAATGAGACCAAAAAAATTTGAAAACATAATATTTGGAACTACGATATTCAAATGTAAATGTAAGAAATGTAGAATCAAGTAAACCCAAATAGGAGGACCATTTGGACATTTTAGTCTAGTTTTATACCCCCTTTGACAATGACACTTTTGGAGTGTCTTGAGCCCCCTACCACACATACGCTCATTGCTCAATTTTTTCCTTCCCCAGGGCAGATATTTTGATCCCTGATTACACTGCTCTGGACTCTTAATTTCCCACCCAGTAATCCAACTCTCAACAAGAAAACTCGTCAACCAAACTGGGCTTCAAGTGGAGTGAAAGATATTCTGTTACTAACTATATATAGTTACATGGTTCGAACAGGAAATCTCAAATCTTTTTAGATATTTTGTTGTAAAAAATAAACGCCGTGCAAATATGGAAAAAAAAATCAAAAAAATTCCATCCCTAGTTCTGTGTCACTTCAAATATTGTGCTTAGATTTTGGAAAAATTTAGTATAAACAAAATATACCACTGTCCTGATCCTAATTACTTTAAGAGGCACATATTAACTATTCATTTAGTTCAAATTTGTTCAGAAGAGAAGTTTAGAACAGGTATTGACCATACTAAAAACACCAAAGAGATTAGGTATTGAATAATCCAAAGCATCACATGTTAGGTGCTACTAGCCTACTACTACTTATTTCTTAATTAGTGATCTGGTCCGTTTCACCATCTCGTGGGAGTAATATATAATAGGCATTACAAACAAAAAACAAGGGTAGCAACTAGCAAGCACCCATCATGTTTTAGATGCGACCTATACGTTACCAAGGGAATCAAATGGGCAGGGCCTGCTCCTTCAAAATACAAATTCAACTCGGTACTATAAATCATTTTAATTTATTATAAATTTTACCTAAAATTCATTTTTAATTAAAGAAGAAAAAACTTTAAAAACACATTTTCAGATTTGTTATACTCTTATAATAATTACGAAATATTTTTCAATTTTTTTTTTCAAATTAAAAATACATACTAGATGAATTATAAAGCAAATCAAAATACTTTATATTAAAGACTGGAGGGAGTACTAAGTATTAACACCACCCTCATCACTAATCTCTCTCGTAATTTTTGCATCCTATGCAAAAACCACTCCAAAAACTCATAGGGTTTAATTAATCATTGCAGGATCGGTCCACCATCATCACCTTTTGAGTGAGACCCGTCGTGGATCTTGCTCTTTGTATTCTAAATTTATTGTTCATTTTATATTTTCGATTTTATCACAATTTAAATTAAAAATTAAGATGCAAATTGAACTATAATTTCAGTAAAGAAGGAGTGTGGCTGTGTAAGCTTTCTACATTTAAATCTCCCTCAGGGCATACATGGTTGAGTTCCACGCTGAACTGCTGATTCATCAGCCGTTTCATCCGGCTCAAAAATGTCTTGTTGCCATCGGTCGGTCAACGTACCTTCTTCTGCCTCTTTTACAACTTTATGACCATCTCCATTACTGTTTTTCTAAATTCTAATTGCATTTCCCATGCAGTCGTCTGTCACCCAAAGAATCCACCCCCAAAATATTCTTTTGTTGTCACCAACCGCTTTTGCCGCCAACACCCTCCTGCATTTCTTTCTTTCTCTAAATCCAACATCACAAACACACTATGCTGGCCCAAAACAATCCCAACAACTGAAAGAAGATAATACAACTACTCATCAAGGCCTTTGACCTTCATAACTGATGCACACCAAACAATGAAACTTGGCATGCAAGCCCAAATACAACTTCAATAATTTCTCCCTGGCCCAACCCATTCATTCTTACTTTTTCTTTTTTTCTACCATTTCTCTAAAGAAGGAGATGACGATGGGGGCATTTTTCTCTCAATCAATATTCAATACTAACAACACTAAACCAAAATGGTTGTAGTGGAGTGGAAAGTACTCCTCCATATGGTTAAGGATTCGAATTTCACTGTGAATATGGAGTAATTTTAAATATGAAAAAAAAAAATACTAACAGTGGCTGTAATAGAGTGAAAAGGCTTGCTCCATATAATTAAGAGTTCGAACATCGTCATGGATATGGAGTAATTTTAAATATGAAAAAAAAATATACCAACAACACTAAAATAGTTAATTCATTAACAGTATAAAAAATAAACTTGAAGATGAGGCAGACAGAAAGATCAACCATTTCTCTCCCTCCCCAAAGTTTTCCCCCCTTCCCCTATTTCTGCATTTCACACTTCCTTCTTTTTCATATTTCATCATCCCTTCACCTCCACATCCTTTCCCAGGCCTTCAAGCACAGATTTTGATGCTGGATTTCGCATTTCTGCTGATAAAAATCGAAACTTTATCCGACTTTGTTTCCTGGGTTCTTTGAATTATATCAGATTTTGATGCTGACTTTCGCATTTCTGCTGATAAAAATCGAAACTTTATCCTAGTTTCTTTCCTGGGTTCTTTGAATTCTATCAGGTAAGATGACCTATGATCTATCTCCGCTCAAGTCTATCTCTCATTCATTTCTTCTTCATTCACTGAATTTTCTTTCTCTCCCACTTGGGTTTTGCAGGATTGCTGAATTATCTGTTGTGGACACAGATCTTGAGTAGTTATTGTTGTTGTGGTTGATGATGGATGTAGAAGAGAAGGCGATGATGATGCGGCCGGCGGCGGAAAGGGCAGAAGCAGAATTGTTCTTGAAGTGGGGTAGCAGGAAAAGACTCAGATGTGTAAGAATTAGAAGCAACAACAATGGCGGTAGTACAACTACTTCTAATACTACTAGCCCACCTTCTTCCTCTCTTCTTTCCGACCCTGCTGTTGACCCAGTTCACCAATCTAATTCTTCCACACGAATCCGCCATCGCAGAATCGCTGCTAATTCTACCAGATTCTTATCACCTAATGATGAAAAGTCTCGCCTTACCAGGTAGGAACAATAACCGAACAGTTTCCTTCTCTCTTTCTTCTCCTTCTTCTATCTTTTTTGACTCAGATAAATTTCTGAGCTGTGGATGAAAAGATCTGTGGGATTGGTTGTGGGCCGGAGGGGGAGAGAAGACTCAAAGCAAACTGAATTTCTTCAAAAACCCCAGCTTTCCCCTCTATTTTTGTTACATAACTTTTTTTGGATTTTGGGTTGATTAATTTGTTACTTCTTCCAAGTAGTTTTTAGCCCTTGATTCATTTTTCGACTGATTAATTTTTGAGCTGTATGAAAAAGGTTTTGGGTTAGGATTAGGATTGGGGAGGGGGGGAATCATAGACGAAGATGGGAATTTTGTTCTAGTCACTTCTGTGTTTGTATCTTTTGTTAAGGAATCTTTATCTGGCTGGTTGATGCAGGAATTCAGAGGTGACCACAGCCGTGGGCCGGAGAGTATCGCCAGAAAAGGAGGAGAGGACCTATACGACGAGAGGATCTGTGGTGGCACACCACCATCTGCAGGAGGAGAATGGTGGTGGTGGTGGTGGTAAAGTGGATGGTAATAGTGGTGGGGATCAGCATATAAATCATCACCACCACCAAAATTATAATAACAGTTATAAAAACAGCAATTACAAAAATAATAATAACAACAATTATAATCATAGAAATGGAGGAAATGGAAATGTGGTGTGGCCTAAGCTGTACATAGCACTGTCAAGCAAAGAGAAAGAGGAGGATTTTCTGGCCATGAAAGGCTGTAAGCCTCCTCAGAGACCCAAGAAGAGGGCCAAACTCATCCAAAGAACCATTCTTGTGAGTTTTTCTCCTTTTACTTTTTTTTTTTTTTTTTGGGTTCATCTTCCTTTTATTTTTCATTTTCACTTAAAGTTGGGAGTTTGACTTTAATTTAATTGACCATGATGATCAGCTGGTGAGCCCAGGAGCTTGGCTAACTGACATGTCAATGGAGAGGTATGAGGTTAGGGAGAAGAAGACTTCAAAGAAGGTACACTTCAGGTTTTTGTTCCCCTCTTTTTCTTCCTTCCTGTTCTGGGAAAGAATTTTCCATTTGGTGGTGGGTGATGATGGAAGAAGAAGGGTGTTTGTTATATTATTAGGACCTGAGACAAAAGGACTTTTTGGTAATTCTGTGTGTGTTTTTCTTTTCTTACCTGTCTTTTCTGGGAGGGTTTGAATTATTGATATAGTAACTTTGACAAAGGATGATTAGATTTGTGTGTTATTGGATATGGGATGCTCCCATTTTTGGATCTTGTACCCATATGGCTTTTGTTGTGAATAGGATAGTCTCCTTCTTCTTGATTTGGTGGTGGAAGGGTGGGAAGTGGTTGGATGAAATGTTGTAGATGAGCTTGGCTGAAGGGCTATTTGGTAATTGCATTCGAAGATGAAGGGAGCCTTTGAAAGTTGAAACTTGGAAAAAATGATTGGATGAGAGTGTATCAGTTTAAATATTGGGATCTTTCCTTTTTTCTGGATCTTGTACCTCTATTACTATTTTTGCTAGTAGTATCCTTTATCCTTGTAATATTTCCGCATGCCTTTTGATTTTATTTTTACATTGATTTTGGGCAATGTCAATTTCAGTTGTTGTTTGAGAATCTGTTTTGTGATTGGGCTTTTTGTTGATTTGGAAATCTGCAGAGACCTCGAGGATTAAAGGCTATGGGTGACATGGAAAGTGATTCTGAATGAATGAATCAAAGTAATTGTAAAGAGAAAGCCAAAGGTTTCTGGAGTTGCACAGAGAAGAAGGGTTGCCTTTGACTTGGATTCATCCATTTAACTAGAAATTTTATTGGTTCTTTTACCTTGTGGCCTTCTTTCTGGGTTTGAATCGAAGAAAGTGCAAGAGAGGGCTGAGAAGGATGCCATCATTGATAAAATAGTATTGTAGTTGTAGGTAGCAACAACACCGGTGTTGCAGGTTTTCCGAGGGATAGGGCTTTAGCAGTGAAAGTTGGGGCCGATTTTTGTAAACTTTACTCTCCCCTACCATCATAATGTGTTGGGACCTGGGAGAGGAGATCAAGTTAAAGACTTGTCACACTGATTCTGAATGACAAAGTTCCCAAATTTCTTTGCTTTCTGCTACCTTAAATTCAGTTAGATTTCTCGTATTGCTTTTGTATAGCATTTATAATGGATTTGAAGTGAAATTCTGCAGCATTGGCAACTGAATTGTTTAACTGATAATGATTCAAGGGCGGCATAATCTCAAGGATGTAAATATATCACTACAGTCTAAAAATTGAGACCTCAACCTCAGAGTTTACAGCGTTATTGTACAGTATTTAAGGTATTTTTCTATTGGTCCAATCTCCGATGATGAAGTTTCAGTGAAAGCAACAAGCCATAGTCCAAGTTGATATTTTCAAAAGCCAGCCTGCTTTGCTGCTTTTGGTTTCGGCAGCTTGTCTAGCAATATAACACATTGGTCAAAGCTATGGCGCTACCATTCTTTGAACCTTGACTTACTATACACTACAACTCCTACCTCAACATTAAAAAATCCCTAATTTGACGAAATGGAAAACAATTTGCCATTGCCAATGTTGTCAACATAACAGAAACATGAAACGGGGTTTCCTATTCTAAGTTTTTCTCCCTCTCTCTCTCTACCCAAAAAACTCTCAAAATTTTCTTTTTCTTCTCCACCACCTTCCATGGAAGATGATGGGAGAGCTCACATATTTAGTTCTTTTTCTCTTGTTTTTAGTCTTTTGGTTAGCTCTTCCCTTATGGAAGTTTAGCTCTCCGATTATTGGTCAGTTTAGCTCATCCATTTTTGGAAGTCCGAATCTCTCATTTTGAGATTTTCGGTTGCCCTTTGGAGTTTTTTCCTTTGTTTGGATTATGCACACATCTTTGCAGTACAAACAACTCTTAACAGTTCTTACATCATTAGTGTGATTCAGGTCCAACTGTTTTTGTAACTGATACTCTCTCATGCATTTTGGTCTCTATACAAAATTCAGCAGAGTTTTTGAAGGCTTATACTTCATGTTTCCTTTCTCTTTATGTTTCAACAGTGGAGAATGAACATATATTACACAGCTTAAATAGTTGAACCCCTGCATAAGAAGAACAGAAACAACTTCATTATGAATGATGTGACCAGTAAAAATACTTTTTTTTTCCCTATCATACTAATGGAAAACAAAAAAGCATCCAACACTGTAAGAATAAGACACAGAAGCAGCAAATCTTTGGCCCTACAACTAATTGATGACATAAATTTCACAAAACATTAGACGGTGCAGATGAAAGTTATAAATTATTGGATCATCCTTTTATTCAGGCATAATATACATCCAACTTCTACATGAAAATGAATTAAACCAAAGGAAGCAGATTAGAGTCTCACCAACGAACCATGATACTGTGTATAGTCTTCTGCAGTGAACAGAATCAGTTGTCTCGATCTCTAGCAGCTTGAAGCATTTCAACAATAAGAGTCTTTACATCCCTGAAAACATTGAATAGTGTAAAAATGAAAGGAACTGTGATTTGAAACAACTCTCGAAAAGACAGGATAACTCTATCCTGTTAAGCTTATTACTTGATAAACTCAATGACAAAGCACTTATACAGAAGAAACACAAAGCAATGTGACAATCAGAAATTGGATAACTCACTTCCTATCTGCAGCACGCCGAGGAAAAGGAATGCGTAGTTTTAGAGTGTTCCCCTGATAGCCAGCCTAAAGAGATATTCACAGGAATTTTTTTTTTTAAAAAAATCAATTGACTACTGCTGGTAATGAAATTACAAAGCAACCTTCAGAAAAGTGTGACTTTTAGGCAGATTGAAGAAATACTAGAAAAAGGTAAACATTATAAAGGCCGAATCTCCATAACTAGAAAATATGTGACGATTTCTAAGAACTCAGGGGTGATGCTCTCACCTTGACATTCAAACCGAGGCTGTCTACATCCAAAATGTAAGCAAAATCAACCTAGAGGAGTGCACACTCGCGGTTAATAAAGCGATCCAGTACTTATTTCAAATTGAAATGGTGCAGCGGAAGGAAGCTATTAAGCAAAGTTAACAATTTAATAACTAGCGAGGATTACAGGGACAGATGTCGAGTGCTGCACAATTAGTTTTGTATCGTCTGCATGATCCTCGTTCATGTGCGACTGCAGTCAGGAAAACAATCAACAAAACGTTGCGAAGCAAAAAACCAGAGGAAGAGCACAACTCCCACAGGAAAGCAAGAATATACCGCAATGGGTTTAGAAAACTGATATATTGGATCAACTTTTGCGGCCGCAAACTCCTCCTTGCTAAATTCTGAATATGAATGAAAAGAGAATAAGAAGGCGCAGAAAGAAAGAATCCACAATATCATATTTCCGGGAGCATGTAAAAAAGTGGAAGGTACGTAGGCTTTGGCAATTGTACTTTCGCCAAATAATTGCAGAAATTATGATTGTTTTGAGGTGCAAAAAGGCTTAATCGAGGAGACAATGTAATTGCAAAAGAAAGAAATAATAAAAACATAAAAAGAGGCTTTAATAGCAAAATTTCAAACAAACCTCCTGCTCCCAATGCAGCTGTAGCTACCCCTGAAACATACCGTATAACTTTGGGGTCGATGCGCACAAAATGAAAATCACCAAAATCAACCTACAGAAAGATTAGATTATTAAGAATTTGCTTCTTCTTAACAAAGAAGAGGAAATGAAAATCGGAGGATAAAAAATTACCCAAAATGCATTTGGATGCCTGGCCAAGTAAGCTGTTCGTATGGCATCTTTATCACTCTCAGCTACCTACATTTTGATCCACAAAAATCTTACAACTCAGTGAAAAACATCATAAATGAAAAGAATACAAAAGAAATTAATTGGAAAGGGACAACGAAAATTGAGCAACAGTCACAAGAACTTACAGGGACAGCATCTCCGTGCACTGTGATTACTAACTCAGTCCTATCCTCGGGATCTTTTGCTACAAGCAACGAGCACTTGGAATTAGCCGAGAGGTCCTGTAATAAAGTAGGTACTTTAAAATTCTTAAGCAGAGTTTTGGGCAGCGGGTTGAGAAGATAAAAGTCAGATTTTATAAATTCCTCATCTGGTAGAGTTTCATATGAAAACCTAACTAGAATAGCTATTTTATTTTATTTTAGTTTATTTGAAAGGAGCAAAAAGAAAAAAAAAAAAATCTAAGTAAACTGGGAACACCACTCCTCTTCAGTACACTGGATTTAAGATTGAAAATTCAATCAATAACAGAAGATGTGAACACAAAAGCTTGATGCCATGCAATTCTTGAGATAAAACCACCAACCTTGGTATGGAAAGCCAAGCTGCTGACAGCTAGTATTGGAGATCCATAAGCATCACAGGCAAAGTCAACCATGGAACCTGATGGGTAGCCTTCGTACTTCTGCGATGTGTGCAAGAACAGATCCGGTTTCAAAAAATAGATAAACAAAGTTTGGAAAGGTACCATGGCCATCTATCAAATTCTACCACTCAATCTTTTTTTGCAGCGTATTCAAAGAAGGTTAACTTGCTAAATACTAACATAATTCAAAAGGAATTATGTACAGCTAGTATTTCAGAAACTATTACATGTGAGAACGTGGAGAGCATGCCACGCAAGCTGTGATGAAGAACCGTCTTTATTTCTTCAACTGGAGGCAGCCTGGCTGCATTTTCCTGAAGTTTTTGCCACAATGTACAAGGTTAACCGATTAGTGCACCGAAAGACATAATCTTGATATGATACACAAAATTTAAAAAAACGATGAATATTGGAATGATAATTTCACAATCCAAAACACCACAAAATTCCAACAGTGATACCTTCCAAAAGATATTTTCAAGGTCCCAAAAACCTATTTTTCCAACAGAGATTAATGGTTGAACCTTGAACAATAAATCAGTGTTCAAAAGTTTTTATAACCACTATTTAAAAATAGTACAAATTCTCCCTGATTTCTCTCTAGGGGATTGAAAATGGGGAAACTAAGCAACTAACTAACTAGACCATGATTCTGGGAAGTGATTAGTTCTAGTAGAGTTGTGACGATTCACTGTTGTTGTTTTCCCACATGGAATATCATTAATTCCTTGCATCATGATCAAGAGAATCAATTCAATAAAAATAAGAGGATGAACAGCAACAACAACAACAACCTGATGAGCTTGAATTAATCGAAACACGTCCATTGCTTCAGCAGCAGCTGCTGAAGAAGCATCCTCACCAACAGCTGAAACATTCTGCACAGTACGAATGACCCATAAACAGAAAGACAAAATTTTTCATCAATCCAAGCCAAAGGAAAACAGCAAATAAAATCAATTTTGATGAAACAAAGAAAACCCACCTTGGCTGGTGATGCCATACTAACAACAGAAACACAACTCTGCCTTTGGATTGCAAAATTTGATGATGAGAATGAGCATTGATTGTTGACTAATTTAAAAGGGAGTTGGTGAGAATGACGATGGTTGAGTTCTATATTATTATTATTATTATTAAGGGGGTCGTAATAGGAAAAATGGGAAATTGCGGAAAATAATTTTCTGTTTCTGTAGATGCAGCAGCATCTCAGCGTGGAAGATGGAGCTACTAGAAGAAGACCCTTCATCTTCTCCTCCTTTCTTTCTCTCTCTCTTTTTTCTTCTTTCTGAGACCGAAGACCTTGAGAGGAATGTGTTCTATTCTTTTGCAAGAAGAGAGTTATAGGATGTATCCAAGGGCTGCAATATTCTAGTGTACTCTATTTTTCCACAAAACCTCAAAGGCCAAACGTACGGAGAAAGCAGATTTTATTCAAGTTGGAAATTTTGGTTTGGCATTTTCAGATTTGGGATTAAAAAGAGTTAACCATTGGTGATTTCTATGTTCAATTGTACCAATATGCCAAAATATATCTATGCTCGGGAATGCAAAAAGTAGTGTTTGGTTTTTTTAAAACAAAGTTCATGTTTTTTTTTGGGTGTTATTGTGTTCTTTCATTAGCTCTCAAGATAAATTTTTTAAAGTGTAAGACACATTAGGATGTAACATCCTTTTTCTGAAATTTGAATGTAGTATTGTATGATGATAGTATCCTGATTAAGGTTAAAAAACCAACTGAATGATATGCTCTTGTCTCGGCTTCTATTCTTAAGCTCAATTATTTCTTGCATTACAACAGCTAATGATGGCACCATGCAAAATTTTGCCCTGGTAATTAGCTGAAATATTTGACAAAATACAAGAGGTTAAAGACTAAAGAGCCTCCCAAGTGCTCTGAGCTAAGCAAGCCATGAACAATGATCATTGTAGCACTTAGCTTGTGTACAAAACTACTCCAAATCCTAATTAAGCTCTGCAAGAGCTTCGCACAGAGCATCTGAAACCAGAAAGCAACATATATTAAACTTGATGACAAACTTAGGGTTCTACCTATAGGCAATGTAATCAGAATCATCAACACCAATAACTAGCAACATCTGCTTCCTAACTTCCATCACAGTGAGTGTTGCAGCTGTTGAACATAATGTTAAGCTGATTCCTTAACACGGAGGCGCTCTGAAGAGTTGCGGTCCACTTACCTCTCCCTCAAAGTTGTACCAACAATCTTCCTTAATGCACATAATGTCATGAGTTAAAAGCTAACAAATTTATGGAACTTTAGCAGCTACAATGGACTTGCCAAGTGCACCCGCTTATCTTCCATTACAATACCCGGAGAGTTTTCTAGAGGTTTAATCCCACCCCAAAACACTGATGAAGGTGATCTAAGCAGGCGTATTATCCTTCTACACTACCACACAAATGATATGCTGCCTTGAAAGGAAGAGTTCGCAATTTACGTACTCGCACCCATATCAATGCTTGCAAACAATGAACCTGAATCAAAGATAACAAGTGTCGGAACTTCAACAGACATGATCCGAACTGTCAAACAAACTTACACTCCCTACTTCAACAACACACAAAGAAATTCCAACGCAGCAAATTCCGCTGTAATACACACAGGATCAGGAATGAGGGAGGCATACTAGCATTTCCACAATTGCAAAGAGTGAAACCTTACGGGTCAACACAATTAGAGGGACATGTGTTAGTTTAAGGCAGGAAACATACAAAGTTCTAAGCTTATAACATAAATAAACTAAGATAAGTCAAAGGGCTGATGAGGTTTTGATGACACCAAAGAAGAATACAACACAATGCAAGTAAATTTCACCAAGTGAAGGAACAAAGAAAAACACATGACTTCAACCTGCAAGATTAAACAATAAACAAAGGCTGCCAAACAAAAGGAGGTAGATTGCTTGGAAGCAATATGAAATGGCAGGTCCACACTCCACATAATGATAGAAGAAATCAGATTATCAAATTGAACTCATAACTGCTGAACCATACTGCAGATATCAATGATCAAAACATTAACATCATTCACAGAGAAAATCCAGCTGAAAATGATCCAAAAAAACGATACTTGCTTCTGACAATAGGAAAAATAACGAAAATCCCAAAATTGTATAAGGAAACCAATTCCATTCAGACACTGAAAGTCTGAAACTTTTCTCTATATTACACCTCAATACAAAATATATGAAGTAATCAAATATACAATCACATAAAAGCTACCAAAAAGGTTCTTGCTTTGCTTGATTGCTATTATGCTATACAATGAATGAATCTATATACTTGAAAGATTACAACAAACGGGGAGGGGGCAAAACTGGAACAATGACATCATCATCATCAGAATCATCATCATCATCATCTGAGGAGGAGGAGGAAGAATAAAAAGAGTTGGAATAATGAAAATGGGGAGCAAGGCCGGAAGGGGAGGAGGGCGGCGGAGGAAGGGGAAGAGGGAAGCAGAAAACGGTGCAGAGACAGAGGGCAAGGCGGTGGATCTGTTCGAAAGGGAAGCAAAAGAGAAGGTAAAGGACTTGATTTCCGGGAAGCCTCTCCGGATTGCATGCCACGTGCTGGCATAATTCCGCCGACAGCTCCGCCACTCCCACCACCACCTTGCTGCTCAACACCATTTTTCTTTCTTCTTCTTTTGTCTTTGTTTTCACTTTTCACCAAAGATTGGTTCTTTTTGGAAAGGGAAAAAAGAAGGAAACATTGACCTGCCTATTTCTAGTCCGCTTTATTAAATTGTTTTTACCATTTACTCCCACCGTCCCAAAATTATTATCTAATTTGATATTTCACTTTTAGTACAAAGGCTATTTATGAAATTTTTACCTATTCCAGATTGTCAACTATTGATTTTGAACCCAATAATACACTGATCAATCTCCAAGGGTGGAATTTCTCCACAACTTGGATGAAAATATATAATCTTGGTATATTATATACTCAGTGTCGGAAGTCATTAATAATCTAAATTTGAGTCGGGTAGTTCATTTCGGGAGACAAAGCTCTTCAAATCCGAAAGCGCAGCATCTTTCCCATATTTCTCCAATATGACATTCCACCCCACACCTTATTAAGGGCCGTAGAATTTAGAAAAAAAAAGTAGCATTTTCTTCCCAAGCAAGTATTTACAAACAGTAACCATCATCATGGCCTTACAAAAAGTGCCAGGCACAAGAGCCTGCAATAACATTTAAGCACACAACTATCAAGAAGCTTACAAATGGTTTTTTTTTTGGGGGTGGGGGGTGGGTCGCAAGTCCAATGAAAAAGATCAGCAACACCATATTAATACACAATTCTCCAAGATATAAGATAGCTCCCTGTTCTGTGACCAAGCTTTCAAACAGCTAGTACTTAGATTAGATACTTTCACCGCAGCTTTTGCAGGGCAACATTTTCCTAGCTCTTTCGCGTGCACGAGTGCTGTGGATTCTTTGCTGCAGCAATCTTCTGGAAAGTGAACTGGACTTTCATTGCTGTATTTCATCAACCCATGGCAACATGAAAGCATAATGTCTTTTTCGCATGCGCTTTGAAAGGAAAACTTACTGTCATTTCTGTAGACTCAAACCGCCAGACAAAGTCCTCAGCAACCAAAGAAGCAGCAGCAGCTTTCTACAGAAAGGGCCCCAAAACAGCTTCATTCACATTGTCAGTACTACTACCTCCAGCATCATCCCTCCTTTGCTATTGGGAGCGCAATGGCAGTCGCCTCCTGTTGCTCTTTTATAAACTGAAACCGGTGTTGGTTTCCCTATTCCAACATATCTCACTATAGTACAAGGTAAAATTAAAGCAAGGGATAATTTCCCTGATTCCAAAACAAGAGAAACAAAGTTTTCATTCAGTTAGCTTAAGTTATACAAAGCGATGTTCACCCAAGATGTTGTGCAATAAATACAGTTCATTCACTAGGCTCAAAATTTCCTCAGGCCATATCCACGATATATCTAAAGGGCTCAACAGCTCCACTTTCCTTGAAGAAAAGCAGTTGCCTCATAACATATATGAACTGAAACAGTTACATTCACGTCCTGTTAAAATTCAGTGGAACGGCATGATGTCATGGGGCACGAAGCTTACAGAGAGGCTAAACACAAGAAATGGAGTTCTACGAAATTCACTCAAATTAAGCAACACCCACATGTAATTGAACGATATCACCTATCTGTTATGTTCATTGTTTGGTTAACTGAACAGGTCTCCCCCAAATTAATCCTTCATCAGAAGATAAAACAGGGGTGCAGCTGCAGACGATATCTCAATAAGAAGTTATCAGGTCTTACAATACTTTGCAGATATACTTACCCCAGAATGAAAAATTGGGTGGGTTCGTGCCGAGAAAGCCACCAGAAACATTAGAAGTACCTACTTTCACACTGAAGGGTCAAAGTGATGCTAGAAATCGGCAATTTAATATCACGACACTGTCGTAATGATATTTACATTGTTGAAGGCTGAGTACTGAAAATAGGTCAGAACTTGCAAGTAAAACCCGAAATCCATTTTTGCTTAGATGTAAAACCTCACTATATTTTTGACATGAATTTTGCCCGTATTAAACCAATGCACAATCAAGCTTGTTCCTCCCTTGCATCTATCAAGAGAAACAAGAATAAAAAGGATTTCACTTCTAGCACATGACAAGTGATTTATCTAAACATAAAATAGAACAAAAAAGACAACTATTCATTCCCAGATAAGTCAAAAGGCAAGAAGTATTTCACTTGTTCAAGCATTTAAAAATGCAGTTACAGCTTTTTTATGCTTACTGGATGTCTAATCAACTGTGAGACGTGCCTTTTCTACCAGTGATTCCCAGGAACACGACTGGAATGTTTTGCAGACAGCAGGACCTCTACTTCTGCTATAGAGAATAGATCCCCTAAATATAACTAAAAACATACATTCATAACAGAGAAAGGAGGACTTGCACCTAGCACAAAACCGATGACTGAATTTCTCCAATAATCATTCTCAACCTTGCTTCTGGATTCTTGCCAATTTTCTTTACAATATGGTTCAGCATATCTCAGCAATCCTCTAGCAAATTTAAAGGAAATCCATTCAGCAGTACAAGTTACTCGTCATGCGTTGTCTCCATCAGTTTCTAACACCTTTCATAAAATGACTTCTGAAGCTTACTCCAAACGGTTTCTAGTGAAAATAGAACTCACAAACACTTGAATTTCTGGGCAATGCCAATATCACCTCCAGTAGTCTTAACTTCGGAGGCAAGATAACCAAAAGCTAGATCAACACTTCTCATCAAAACACCATGCTTTAAAATATACCTAAGCATTGCAAAGTACTCATTGATTCCATCACATAGATAGGACTCTACATCACATGAAACTTCCTCAAGACTCTGTGACAAGCATACAGGAACGTCCTTGGGGTCCTTCCAACTTTCCTTAGAAGTACAATATCCATCGACATCTATACAAGTATAACATGTAACCATGGAAATGTTAAGGACTTGTAACTGGATTGAGTTTGCAAGAATTGCACTCAACGAGCTCCAGTGGCAACAAGGACATTCAACGTCCAATATGGTTAACCGCTCAAACATTGCAGATAATGGGGTGGAGGCATGGCTAAGACCTTGCACAACAAGCTGATTCAAAGTCAGAGATTTTGCACATTTCACACCTTCAATAAGGTTCAGAATCGAATCGCATAGACCAATACTTATTCCATTATCCAAGTAAGTTTCAGAATGTTCATGAAGATCAACTTTCACTTCGTTCACAGATGTCAGGCGTTTCATGGACAACTCCTTCATTTGGCTATCAGAGAAATCAAAGACCTCAAGGGCAGGAGCATCTATCTCTAGCTTTCTATCTTTGCAATCGCTCAAACATCCTTTGAACATTTTAAAAAGCCATCTAAGCGACATGGGAAATTCTATAAACTAGCACCTTATCAGGAATCATACAAAGCTCAAGAAAATGGAGCACCGGAGAACCAGATATAAGCTTACGAAAAGAGTCATCTGAATCGAAAGCAGTATCAACGAGACACAAATGTTCTAGTTTGGGAAGACAAACATCAGAAGGGGCTACAACTAAAAGGGAGCCACCAGATAACCGGAGAGTTTCAAGTGTAGAACATGTAAGAAGTTTATCAGGAAGATGAGTTCCCTCACCAGACGAGGCAACACAGAGATCCAGAACTCGAAGATTACAAGAGACAGTGTGTCTTACCCAGATATGAACGAAAGATGTTAGTGATTCATGTGCGTTCCAACTGAGACGAAAACTGTGGATTTCTCCAGCTTCCCGAAGGAATAACACCTCTGTAACAGCCTTCACAAGATTCAGCCCAGGTTGACTCCTCAAAGAGCGGCCACCACGATAATCCCAACAATTAAAATCCAGGGTATTTGCACCTCTCCACACAAGCTTCATCTTCTCGATAAAATGCTTTTCCTAACAGTGTACTTGGTTGGGAGGAAAGAAAATACATGGGCAATGACGGAATCCGGTAAACTGCTTATCCTATCAGCTGGAACTACAACAACCTCGTCACTAGATTGACTAATTCCGGCATTTGAAGAATCCCTTTCCCTATTAGTTTGGGCCCTAGTTCTTGGTGCCATTGAAAACGGGAACAGACAGTAACTGAATTTCTTGAAGGCTCATATAAGCCCACGTGTGGTTCTAGCTCAAAATCAATTGGCAATGAGGGGAGTAGCACATGGGGTATATATATTGAGTTCAAGAGTCTCCATCCATCCAAGTGGGACAAGGGAACAATGAGGGGGAGAGAACACCAACAAACAATCTACTCCACAGAGGGTTCCATGTATAATTGTATATTCCTACTAATATGCTGTCCCGTAGAACCCGAAATCTCTGAGAATTCGAAAAACACCAGAGCATTCATTCAGTCACGATTGAAAAGAGAAACTAAATCAAAGTTTGGGGAACTTCAATTTGACACTATGACTATAAATTTGGAAAGACTGAATTTTCACAAATAAGTACAATTCCCAAAATCAATAAAAAAAAAAAAATCACTTCTTTTACTTCTAGATTTCACAGAAATGATCCAGAAAAATATCTGCTTCAAGGAAATTGAAGTATTTAATGGATACCCTTTCAGTTAAAAGAAAGTAATATCTATGGAACTAAACTGATACCATACAAATGTTATTGCAGCAACAAAGAGAGAAGGTTTTTTGAATTAAGCCACAAAAAGAATACCTGATTGAGGAGATGAAGAATGCGCCTCAGCCGACTACTAATGACATCCGACTGCACCGGTGATTATCGGAATTCGTGAAGCACTCTGGTCGGAGGATGGCGATTCAATTTCAGGCAGTGTTTACTTGTTTTCTCCAGCACTATTGAATTTGTCATTTTGGATATTGAATGGTTAACTGTTGGGCCTATTCCAATGGGCCCAAGTTAGTTTGACCAGCGATTTGAAATTGTCGCGCTTGGAAACACTGTTTATAAGTGTTGGGCCTAACCCAATGAGCCCAAGTTGCCTCCAAGACTTACTTCCCTTGTCTGAGTACAATTCGTCGTCAGTCCGCTCCAGTCTCTCCTTTTGCCCAAGGCTCCAAGTTTTATTTTATTTTTAGTTTTTCTTTTTTTACTTATAAAAGATCTTTTAATTTTGTAAGAAAATAAATAAATCAACAATTGTAAATATATATATATACTAATTCTTAGAAAATTGTAGCAAATTTTTTGGATTAATTACATCGTAATTTAATTATCTTATCAATTTATTAATAACAAAATTACTACAAAGTAGAGATCCAACATTCGAATATTTCCTAACGTGACATGTGTATTAATAAAACTCATGCATTGATGTTGAAGCGACCACTTGCACACATTTGATATGATTTCCCTCCTCCGTTTTTCATTTGGTTAAAGAAATTACTTCATACAAATTTTACTCCCTTTGTCAAGAAATTTTGAACTAAAAATGAAAATTCAAACCGTCAAGCATCAAGGAAACACAAGCAGTTTTTGGAGTCTTTTCAAGTTTCAATTCAAGTGTATCATAACAAATTGCCACTCAAAATTGCAGAGTTGGTACATCTTCAAAAGAAAGATAGGGCTTTGTGATATTAACAATTCCCAGTATACTGAAACACAGAATTCTGCCTAGAGTAACTACCAGACTTCCACAAGACATCACAACCTGGGGAAGGTTTTTCGCTTACTTTGCCTTCTTCATTCCTTGGCATTCTTCACAAAGTATTGAATGCTGCAGCTGCTCAGGTAGATAAAAGCTGACCTCAACAATTATGAAACCCGAACAAACATTACAAGAAACTACATTATTGAAAATGCTTTTGAAACGCACACGGCACCAATTTCCCTACCCCTACAAATCACATCTACTCCGAGACAATAACACCTTATGTCCTACCATTCTATAGCTTTAAGAGGAAAAAAGAAGTTTTAAGAAAGTCATGTGTCTAGACCTGTAAAGCATCAGGACATGCACGAGCGCTCAACAGTGTTGAGAACTCACAATCATTCTATGTAATTGGATATACTAAAATCAAGACTAAACCAGAACACAGTACTATTATCTCTTTTTTTGCTTGAAAAATAAATGAAGGTACTCCATCCATCACTAATTAGGCATGTAAAAATCCTCTATCCTCCAAATATGACACCACTTGGCCAGCCATCTCACATGGAGCAGGACAAACTCCACTTTTCTGTGTTATCTCAATCTGAACAAGAAAAGGAACCGATTCTTGAGTCAACAACTGTTTACGCAACAGGATAAACAAGTGAAACTTTCAAATGCTCAATTTATCAAAGTTATGCCATGTTGAAAATTTCGAGACTACGCACCTCACAATTTAAAGGAGGTTCATAAGGATCATCGATCCCGGTAAAACCTGCAAATTGATTAAATAAGTTACAAGCATGTATCTTTCCCTCAATAAAAAAAGAGAAGTACCTACCAAGGATAGCTAAAGCCACACATTAAAGCAAGTAGAAGGGCCAGAAGGAAACTGGCTCACAGAATTGCTGGGCAATCTTAGTTGATGAATTCTAGCAATCATTTTTGACAAGCACGTCGTATGGTTATCTCGTTAATGACAAGAAGAAACTCAAGCCTCAATTTATCAGTTCCATATAATCACGTTTGCCTTTTAAAATTTACAGGTTCTAGGCTTTCGATCTTCCAATATACACACAATAAAAAACTTAAAATAAGCTACAACTATGCGCAAGTACAACCAAACACACCTTTGGCAATCACATGGATTGCAGGCTTTTGAAACCTAATAAATATTTTTCACGATAAACATAAAACCTAGAGCAGAGTACATATAGGATCAGATAGAACAAACCTTTGATCTTCCCAGCTCTGGCAAGTTTGTAAAGGCCCTTGGGGTCTCGTCCTTCGCACAAAGAAAGAGGCATGTTCATAAAAACCTGAAGTTTAAAAGGAGGGAAAAGGTTATAGTCACATATTGAACATAGCAAATTTATGAATAAAATCACTGATGAGGTCACCCTTGCCTCAATAAAGTTGGCATTGGGCAATAAGGCACGACAAGAATCTCGGTCTTTTCTGTATGGAGATATCAAGCTGGCCACACAAATCAAGCCAGCATCGGCAAAAAGCTTGGCAACTTCCCCTGTCCAGAAGATTCACAAATCAGAAGATAACAAGACAGCAGTTTGGATGAAAATATATCCATTTTCAAATCCGAAAGTCTAAAGGAAAAATAGTCACTTAGTCAGTATGAATGCTTGAATAAACAAGGTTCTAAGTAATCTCTTACAACATTTAAAGGTAAAGCTATTTTCACTGCTTTAATAAAAATTGAAGGAAAAACTTCTTGTCAAGATCAATTACCAGCATTACAAATTTCGTAAAATACGTACCAACCCTACGTATATTTTCCGCCCGATCCTCTGGACTAAAACCAAGATTTTTATTTAAACCATGGCGAAGATTGTCCCCGTCAAGAACATAAGAAAGTTTTCCCTTAGAATGCAACTCTCTTCCAAGGGTGCATGCAAGTGTGCTTTTACCTGAAACGATTTCAAGAAGTATGAGTGGATAGATCAACCACGAATTCGGAAAATTAATGGATAAAAAGTCCTCACAAGCTTGCATAAGATTCACTAAGGCCTTACACCAACTGTAAGCCATGCTTTTATATCGCAGAACAAAGAAACAGCAACTGAAGGCCATAAAAAAAAAGAAAAAAAAAAAAAGAAAAATCGAGCACAAAAGAAAATCAATAACCTGATCCACTCAGCCCCGTTATCCATACGACACATCCCTTTTGGTTGAGAAGTTTTTGCCTTTCTGTCTGCCCAACTGGACACTCATGCCAGAAGATATTTGCTGAATTACCCAATGTCGTCATCAGGACGAAAGCAACAACAATTTTTTCCCCTACTGAAGAAAGGGTTCAGAAAGAAAAATGGGAATCTCAACAGCATGAATACATTAACATCCACTGATATAGATGACCAAGTTCCTCAACAGACTGATTATATAAGAATCATTCACACTCAAGTACAATGTCAATAATTAGACCAACCACCCTCAAACTGACGGCAGTAGAAAAGGCTAATTGGGATTAAAAGAGATGAAGCATGACCGTTATTTTATACCAAAATCTTAAACATATGCCCCATATATCCTCAAAACCCTTCACATGGAATGGTACATATGATCGAATACAAGTTGTCATTTTTTTAATGAAAAAGAAACAATAAGAACTCTAATCTATCAAGGATCAAATGTGATTTCTTATAAAGAGGAAAAATCCAATCAAAATGTAATCTTTAAGCTCCCCGGCATTATTTTCACAAAGACGAAATCAAATCAGAAACTATAAGAACCATTTTAATATTATAAACAGAAGAAAATGTCAAAACAATAGGGTGGAAACCAAATAAAAATATCAGAACAAAACACACACAGATCATCTGATTGATTATTATTAGACACACATTGTCATCCCACAGGCTAATACCAAGTACTAAGTGAAAAGAAACAATCTTTTTGTTCATGAGGAACATCATTGAACTATAGAGCCAACAAAAAGGAAGAGAGGGATAGACAAATACTTACACAAACCTGGGAAGCTCGACAGAAATGGCAGGCAGAAGAATCCCCGAAAGAGAAGAAGAATTTTAGCGTCCTACTGATGAAGAAGAGGGAGTTCCTGAAATAAGGATTTCGATAAAAATGATGGGGTCTTAAGACAAAATCAACAGAAAGTGTTTTTTTTCGTCGGGGGATGTTGGAAAGATTCAAAGGAAAGAGCGAGTTTTTGTCTGGTGTGAATGTGGACGTGATTTAGGGAGAGTGTGTTGTTGGCTTTTTTTAGGCTTTTCCTTCCACTTTTTCCATAACTTGAGGAGAAGAAGTGATGAGTCTGACTTCATTGCGTTCATTCGGTTTGTCTTTGTCCTGCAAGATACGGCCATCATTCATCGTCAACTCGCGCTAATTCCATATAGTTTAGGGGTTATTTCATAATTTTCCATTTTCCACCCCTTTCTGTTTTTTCTTGGTCCATTTTTATGTTTTTTAGCGTTTTTAACACTTACTCATCTTCTCCTCAAATTAGTCCTCAAAAAAGACACAACTATATTGCCTAAGCTGATGCAAGCTTACATCTGGTTGGGGCCCACAGCTGCCATCGACGGCGGCGGCGGCGGAGGAGGAACCTCTGCCTCCACCACCGCCTTCTCTCTCTGTGCCCATCGGTACTCTCACTCATCTTGCTGGCCACATTTTCATCACAGTAGCAGTCGTGGTGTGCCATCTTGTTCAGCCACTGCCGGAGGCGGTGGCGGTGTCAGTGGGCGGAAGCAGAACCACTATACGGTGCTGGGCCTGGCATCCGATGCTTCTCCGACCGATATCAAAAAGGCCTATCGCCTTCTAGCTCTCAAGGTAGGCATGTTCCCTCAATACATTATAATTAAATCTTTGTTGCATGAACCCCTTAATTCCTGAATTAATATGAAAATTGATAATTAGGTTTGATGGTTGACATATTTTGATTTGGCGATGTACGATAAATGATAATGATTAAAATTTCAATTTTTGGGAACACATATATTTATAATTTTTTTTACTGTCTCTAGCTGTTACTGATACATTTATCAGAGAAGGGAAAGTAAAGTTAGAGAAGGGGAAGCCATGCATTTGTATATCATTGCTCAATGTAATTTGATGAGGTGCAACTTAGTGAATAAAGTTTCAATCTTTGTAAACATTCTCTTTCGTACTGTCAGTTTTGTTGATAAACTGACGGAAAAACTCTCCTTTGTTGCAATGACTGTTATCATAGTTTATATCAGGTGCCAGACAATTTTGGTGGGCAAAGAAATGGGTGAATTTTATGAAAAGATTTCAGCTCACTATGTATAAAGTATGTTTCTAAGATTATATGGATGATAACTTGAAGATCTATGTTTTCTTGGTTGTATCAAATGCAAGAGGTCCAGATTTTACTTTATTTTTTGGTCTTTCTTCAAGAAACATTATTTTTATGTTTTAGAATCTCTTGGTGGTCTTACATTTAAGGTTCTCTAACATGTCATTTGCTCCTTTTATATCTTCTTTATGTCTAAATTCTTTCTATATACAGCATGCACGATCACTTCGATTTAACTGGGTTGATTTAACTGGGTTTTGTTACTTCTAACCTTGTGTTGTGATTGCTGCTGCAGTATCATCCTGATGTCAGCAAGGATGCAGGAGCACATGAGACATTCAAGAGCATCCGTCTTGCTTATGAAGTGAGTTATGCCCCTCCTTGGCCTTATCATTTGTTTTATATTCTAAAGTTCTGCAGTTACAATTATAGGTCCTATATCACAATCAATGGTTATTAAGAAATCTGTCCTTTTTACGCATGTTTGAATTTTAGGACAATCTTGCTCCACATGTTTGAATTTTAAATCAGAAATAGCTGATTCTCTCTGCTATGACTATTTTCAGTCTAAAATTCAATTTTCAATTTGAGCGGGTAAAAGGACAGGAACAGGAACATGAACAGAATGACCAAAAAGTGTCTTCATCGCCTATGGAATTCTCTCATGTTTTGAAACTTAACTCAATTCACTCTTCAGAAAATGGCGTGTAAAACAAGCTCCTACGGAACTTGAGAGCTACTTCTTTGCTCCACTCTTTAAGGGCTTAATTTAGAAGCTGCTACATTAGACTTGAACTTATGTAGTTGAATTATACTCTTGCAGATACTATCAAATGAAGCTACCAGAAACCAGTATGATCGAGCCCTTCGATATCAATCAGATAGTGCGAAGCATCATCCAGGTAGTGACTGGAACTACAGCCCTGAATATGAAGATCAGCTACGGATCTATAGATGGGCTTATGTGAGGCAAAAAATGCAGCGGGAAAATTACTGGCAGCACAATCGATCAAAAAACGAGAAAGGATATTCCTTTTCTGTTGAAGAAGAACAAGAAGAGTCTGATGATGATGAAGAGAGAGGCCCATTCACCGAAGTGCTTCAATCGGCCTTACTTACGTTGTTCCTTATGCACACCGTTGGAATACGTTTATCTCTCACCTTTAGCAGCATTATGGCTTTTCTTGACCAAAAGCTGGATGGTGGATATAAGATTGGTTACTTAATCGCCTGGATATTAGGAGGAACTGGTGGCATTATGCTAACATTGTGCCTTTCGTTTTCAAGTTGGGTATGTGGGAAAACTAGTAGTGGCATTGTTGCTTTAGTAGTTGTATCCATGTGGTTCGTTTCAAATCTTGCTAGGTTCGTTCCGCTTCCCCAAGGTGCTCTTCTTACCCTGTTGTACATGTCAATTAAGCTGCAGGTTGATTTAAAATAACAAAAGCATTTGTTTGTGGCTTTCCATGACAGAATGTATATATGCTGCTTTGTATAGAGGTCTTCGAGGATTTGTTAGTAACTTTGTTAGCAACTTCTGAATTTGGTCCTATAAAGAGCTGAAACCCAATTATACCTGGTGGAATTTGTTTACATAATTAGAAGCATGATAAAGTGTTAAAATCAAACTTTTGAGATTTCTGCTGTTATGTACTTTAAGTTAGAATGGTCTGTTTGTGTCTGTGTGATACAACCACCTCGCTGATGAAATGGAAGAAGCTTTTAGAGAAAATCCTTCATGTGTTTGCCTTTGATGTTGAAAATATGATAACATATGATTTGAAGAAGAAAACATTATTTTAGATCTCAAAAATCTCTTCTAAAAAGAGATTTCCACAAGCTTGAATGGTGATATGAGAAGGATCTTTGTTATGTCATTATCTGTTTGTATGCATAATGAAGGCATAGAATCAACCTAAGAGACAAACCGTGAAGAGAATATTTGTAAAGTTGTCAGATTTTATGTATGCTGATTCCTAAAAGAGTTCCTCAAAATAATACAATGTGCTTCTCTTATTTTTTGGAGTTCCTTCTACAAATTGCTTTTCTCATCCGCCATGCCAATGAATGCAAAGAATCCCTTTTGCATCACCTGATTATTTCAATATCATGTTGGGAGAAGGAAGGAAGGGTGAAAACCGGCAAGTTAAGACTGATGTTGGGGTCAAGGGAAGGAGTGTTGTTTTTAGATCATGATTGAATGAAGCATATTGATCAGTGAGCATGATTAAATCAGATTGAATTGAAGAAGATGAAGAACTGACCATTCCTGAAAAAAAACAGCAGGAAAAAACACCATAAAGCTATGGCATTTTCTTTTTTTTATATCTTACAGCTATGCGAAGCTACGCAAATGATCAATGCAAGAAAACTGAAAGGCGTGTTCTTGCCGTACTGATTAGGCCATTAGGGAAACAGAGAGACATTTCAAGAATCTTAAGGAAGTTTTACGTTTGCCCTTGCCCATATTGTTTTCATTTCTGGCTAGCCAATCCCAAAAGTTCAGAGGTTTGAAATTGGTCCCCTTTTACTGATTTGATTGTTGTTTTAGTTTGGTGCTAGCCAGTTTTTTTGGTTTCTGTTACACGCAACAAATGAGTAAACGTATAGAGAGGCGAAGAAAAGAAAAGGATAAACGGGAGTGGTGATAATAGATTCTGAGACGGATTCCATCCAATAAAGATTCTTAAATGATTCCATTTCTATATGCAGCAGCAACTAAGAACGTGGTGGAATGTATCTCATAAAGTTCTACTTAATATAACACGACTTGTTAACTCTTCTTGTAGTATCTTAAACAAAATAGACTCATCCTATCTTAATTCTTAAGTATGGCTTTGCATTCTTAAGTGTTTCGAAAAATGGACTTGACCGGTTTTTATGAACCTCAATTCTGGTGTCGTATTGTATTACTCGCAAAAGTAAACCAACGGAGGGAACCCTTTTGAGTTGTTGATTTGAGGTTGGAAACCATATTGTAATTGTGTCATCCCTTGAGAAAAATCAAAAACTTTGAAGCAAATGAAACTCATCATTGTAGCTGAGGCTTAACTTTTCAATTCAACAGCCTCTTTTCTGAAAGTTTGATCACTGTTTTGTCGTGAAATGATCATTCATCACTCACCAGTCACCAGTGGGATGATGACGCTACACTTTTGATGCAATTATGTACAAATAGAGTTTGAATAAAATTCACAAAGCAATATTTGTTGTTGGAAGATAGAAAAGTAACACCAAGAAAGCTAACCTATCTACTAATATCAAGTTTTTAAATACATGGATTTATGTGAAAAAATTTGATGAAGGTGGAATCCTGTGTGGAAAGCATGATCCCATTCACGCCATTTTTGCAGCAGTAGTACTTATTTCTGTTTGTTTCTTCGCGCGAAGAAAAGGCCGTTTTGCAGCTCATTTTGATTTGCTTCTGCTCCCTTTTTTTTTGTGCTTTAACCTCTGCATAAAATCTTCTAAAAAATGTGAAATGGCGACAGACATAGGATGATGAAATTGATGATACATCAGCATCCATCATCCATCACCAATCTATCCATTCTCCACCAGACAGACAACTGACTCTGATTCTGCTGATGTCAATTCAGCTTTTTGTTAGGTACTCTTTACTCTAGTACTAGTACTTCTTCGTTTGGTTGGAATCATATTCATTCCCATTTCCCCTCCATAAATATGCCAATCAGTCTCTTTTGGGTGGAATGAATCAAAGCAAGATTATTACTTTTCAACTTGCTCACAAATCTGCACCAGATAATGCTGGCCTAATTGAAAAAAATTTATGTCTCAGCTCCCAAAGACTTTGGTTAGTGGGCTATAATAATGCAGTGCAAAGATTCTTGAAAAGCCAGCAGAGGAATTGGGAATTGGGGGAACTTGTTCTGATTCCCATGTTAGGTCAGTGTTTGTCTCAATAGTGGTGCTGCTGACACTGCTTTTCACTTGTTAAAGCTTAAAACCCCATTCCAAGCCTAAGGGAGATTTCTGCCTATATCTCTGTATCCTTATCCTGCCATCCCATCTTAGATAAACTTGATCTGCAGTTAAGGCAAAGCAGTCAGCTTCTCTATTCGAATCCGCAAAGGTATGAATCAAATGTGATCAAGTCCTTAATCATATTCTTTAGTCTACAAGTTTTATGTTAGTGTTCACACTTCATACTGGACTAAAAAGCTTGTTCGTTTGACATTCATGGCTAAGTGTATGAAACTCTATATTCTACTCCTAGTAGAACTAGTTACTTTCTTCAAAGGGATAGTTCAGTAGTCAGTACCACCAGCCTAACTAATTTTCAGATTTCATATCACTGTCACTACCGATACCGTGTGTTTTAGAAAATTAGCAAATGCTAATCAGCATTAACTAGAGCTAATTATAGAACAGTTTGTTATCACCATGTTTTGCCTTTTTCTATTCAGTATCCAAGATTCTTGATTTGCATAATCTGCCATTTGGTGGTATTGAAAGGCTCAAAAGGATTATACTACTAGACTGGTAGGTGATAACAGGTCGGTCTTAAATGGGGGAAGGTTAACTTAAAACCTACCTGGCTGGCTGGATAAAAATTCCAAAAATTTGCATTAGATCAGTTATGAAATTTGTTACCTTGACCCAAACAAACACACGTGAAGGATCAATGTTTTAACATTAGAATAATAGAGACATACATTGGTAGAAGATGATGATAATATTAACTTAAAGAGCAGCCCATGTTTCCAAATACGTGGAGAATCGTGTACATCGCACCTACCAGATTTGCTGCATCATTTATTGACCTTGGATACTTGACCCATTCAACTTCAACCCATTTCCAAAGGGTCTGGCCTAATGCCTCAAAGAAAGCCTCTTTTCCAATTTTAACAGTGTCGCAAAAATGCCAGCTTTTCATGCAATCCTATGCTTGACTGCGCTCTAAATTCGAACCCCAGCCGACCTCCAGAGATGGGAACAATTGTATCCTATTTTTAGTATATCCTCTTCATTCATATTGGATATTGTATTGGTCTACATAAGATATGATCCAAATCCATGTCATGGTTAAGCAATCATCCTCATCCTTCCAGTTCCAAAATTCAATCTTGATCAAATTGAGTTGACCTTTGACACGTAGTTCAGTTAGTTTAAGACTTTAAGTTTGCCCTTTTCAGAACTATAAAATTTTGATTAAAAAAATCCCTTAATTTATTTTAATCTCTGGTGGAATCTCAAGGATCACATGTCAGAATTATAAAATTTTGCACGCCATTGGTGCAGTGCTCCATAATTTCTTTCAAAGTAGTATTTATTGGGCCAAATGCCAACGCATGTTTGTTATTATGATCACCAAGGAACTGAAAAGTGTTGCTCTTGTTTCTTAGTATAGCTGATCCTGTTCAGTCTTTTGTGAGTTTAAGAAAAAAGATCCTTTCTTTGCTGAAGTTTTTGTTTCAGGGAAATAAGCAATGAATGCATTAGTTGCCACCAACAGAAACTTTAAGCTGGCAGCTCGTCTGCTAGGCTTGGACTCCAAACTGGAGAAGAGTCTGCTCATCCCTTTCAGAGAAATCAAGGTTAATCACTTTGAAATCCCCTTTTTGTTTGTTGTTAAGGTTAATCATTGTCAAAGTTTTTGAATTTCTATTCGAGAATACTAGACTCGGCATACGGCATTTAGGGCTATTAAGTTCGGCTTTCCAGTATCATACATGACCTTAAACTTACTGGTGCTCAGGTTAGTGTAGAATTGGATTCTTTTGTGCTGTAAAGTTTTTATTAGTAGCATGCATCCAAATAAGCATTTTTTGGATTGTTGTATGAACTCCTGATTTTCAGCATTACCATTCTCTGTTGTCCCAACTGTTCTTCAGATTAGATAAGGATTATGGTCCACTGCAACAATTATATCGTACCCAACCTTCTTTTTTCACATTGCATGTCCTTCTGATTTTACAGTGTAATAGTGAAGCTTCTTTTTTTATGGTTGTTCAGATTAAAGAAACTTTTTCCATCTGCAAAAATTTGTATTTGTATCCTGCTACCCTTATAATTGTTTTCCCTTATAATTGTTTTCCGCATTGCCATATGAATTAAGACAGCTTCTCTCACCTCCCTTTTGTTGTGCGCAATTTCCATCTCTGTTTGCAGGTGGAGTGTACCATACCAAAGGACGATGGCACCTTAGCCTCCTTTGTAGGATTTAGGGTTCAGCATGATAATGCTCGAGGACCCATGAAAGGCGGAATTAGATACCATCCAGAGGTTGTTTAAAAGTTTCCAGATATGCCACATGATAAAACTATTAGCAGGCTTAAACTGAAAATTGATTTGATTTCAGACAGCTCTCTAGAATATATAGTGATGATTCTCAGACTCATATGAGGTTATGCTTATAGGTTGATCCGGATGAAGTTAATGCTTTGGCACAACTGATGACTTGGAAGACTGCAGTCGCGAATATCCCATATGGTGGGGCGAAAGGAGGGATAGGATGTAGTCCTGGAGACTTGAGCATTTCGGAGCTTGAAAGGCTTACCCGAGTTTTCACGCAGAAGATACATGATCTTATTGGAGTCCACACTGATGTTCCAGCCCCCGATATGGGAACAAATGCACAGGTAAGTTAGCATATATAAGCATTTCCCTGAACAGCTCGCATGATATCGCCCAGTTGACATGTTTGATATGAGGTTAAGAAGATGACTCAACTAACATAGAAGTAAATTCTAATTGAAATTTGATGAGATGTGAAATTTAATCCGCACTTGTTGGGACAGACGATGGCATGGATATTGGATGAGTACTCAAAGTTTCACGGCCATTCTCCTGCAGTTGTAACTGGGAAACCTATTGTAAGTATTTTTCTCATTTTCATTCCTTTCATAGGCTAGTTCTATCTTATGGAAGTGTCATGTATGTTTCTTTAATGTCTTACTGAAGTACTTTGAATCAGGATCTTGGTGGATCGCTAGGCAGAGATGCAGCAACAGGAAGGGGTGTGCTTTTTGGAACGGAAGCGCTGCTCAATGAATACGGAAAAAGCATTGCAGGCCAACGCTTTGTTATTCAGGTAGAGAACTTATAATTTTAGCATGTATTTCTCTTTTAGGTAGAATGTCATTATGTAAAACAAGTTCCTCTTATCGACTTCTGGACCACCCTTCTCCGTGCACTTCTGGAATGTACTTCACGTACTCTTTCTGGCTTCTGTCCCTGTCCTTTCCCATATTTTTCACTAGCCCCAAATAATTGTCAATCAAATGCATAACAATGTGTATTTATAACTTTGAAGCACCAGAAAATCAGTCAGAATTATTTATCAGACAATCAAATGCATAACAATATGTATTTATAACTTTGAAGCATCAGTCAGAATTATGCATCAAAGCCATGAACTGAGTAGAAAACATCGTATGTTTGCTATGCATAAACCCTTTTTTTGTTTACTCTTTTGTCGCCAAAAGACTGTCGAGGGATCGGATTTTCTCTAAAATGATGTCATGAATTATCAGGGATTTGGAAACGTTGGCTCCTGGGCGGCTCAGCTGATCAGTGAGCATGGGGGAAAGATTGTTGCTGTGAGCGACATCTCGGGAGCCATAAAAAACACCAAGGGAATCGATATTCCCAACCTGCTCAAGCATGTGAAGGATAACAGGGGAGTTAAGGGCTTCCAAGGCGCTGATAGCATAGATCCTAACTCAATTTTGGTTGAAGACTGTGACATTCTTATCCCAGCTGCGCTCGGGGGTGTTATCAACAGGTTCAGTAGCCAACACAACTCAAAAACTTACACATTATTGATCTTTTTATGTAAAATATTTGTTGCTGAAATGAAAAATTCCTTCTGTTTTGTTTTTCTGGTCCGGCTAAAAAGGGATAACGCAAAAGATATCAAAGCCAAATTTATCATTGAGGCAGCCAACCATCCTACTGATCCAGAGGCTGATGAGGTCATTATATTGATCTAAATGAAAGAGTTCTATTAGTTTAATACCCGATATACAATATCCAACACTATTATGTTTCACTCTGCAGATTTTAGCAAAGAAGGGAGTCGTTATTCTTCCGGACATATATGCCAACTCAGGTGGTGTTACTGTTAGCTACTTCGAGTGGGTTCAGGTACACAGCCACAATGATGGCCCTTCATTTTCTCCATGTTATCTCACGAGAGCTAGCATCCCTAGTCATTCGGACGATATACATTTTTCCACCAACAAAAAATCTTTCGAATTTTTAAGGATGATTTTGTTCTGTAATGAAAATAAAATAAGAAAGCGTTGCAAGCTAATGTTCGCTCTGGCATCATTGTTTCCGTTTGCCTAAACGAAGATGCTAACTTTCTGGGGTAATTATGCAGAACATTCAAGGGTTCATGTGGGATGAAGAGAAAGTGAATTCAGAACTAAAGACTTACATGACTAGGGGGTTTAAAGATGTGAAGGAAATGTGCAACACTCACAACTGTGATCTCAGAATGGGTGCTTTCACCCTAGGTGTCAACCGTGTCGCTCGGGCTACTGTTCTCAGAGGATGGGAAGCCTGAAAAAATGGCAACCACCATCTTGAAAATAAAAGAGATGAAAGGCTTAGTAGCCCTAAATCTTCCTCAAATGTTTTCACTTTGCACTGCTGTGTCTTAAAAAAATAGGTCTAAGATTCTTTTTCTTTTTTCTTTTTCCATTTTTGTCTGTCTAGGGGTTGTGGAAAACCTCAAAGTTTTGCTCTTGATTCTTCTTAGGTGGAGAATCAATGGCCGCTTCTATTAATTTTGGTTTTCAGATAATGAAGTTGAAAACCAGACCTTTTTTCTTTACAACGTTAGGTTGTCAATATCTTTGATCTCACAGCAATTTCCTGCTCTTGTTCATCAAAGATTCTAAATGCTAGCCAAACTAAACTACAAATTCTTTAGCATGGGAAAGGGAAAAGGCCAACGACAACAATGAACTAAGAACTTGGAATAGTTAACAACCATTAATTTCAAAAACACTCCAAAGTTTGGCAACCACAGCTTTCCTCCAAAAATCTGATAATCAAATCCTGGATTAACAAGAACAGTAAAAGTGCATATTGAAGTAGTAGTACATGATTCCTGTCTATGATCTTCCCCTACCCCTAAAACCGCCGCCGCCGCCGCGAGGTGTGAAACCTCTTCCACGGGGTGCACCTCTTCCGCCGCGAGGTGTAAAGCCTCTGCCGCGAGGAGCACCTCTTCCACGAAAGCCACCACCTCCCCTTCCTCCACCGCGCCCTCCACCTCTACCTCCAGCTTGTGCTGCTCCCCTGCAAAAAAGACAAGGACACACATGATAATCATAAGAAACAAAGTTTTGAGACTTAAACAAACTAGAATGCCATGTAGTTGCAATGACAAACAAGAAAACGTCAGGTATGGATTACTGGCTCTACAATCTACATGAATATGATACTGAGTTAAAACCTCAAGTTAGATGCCGTAATGGACCTGCTTTATTCCTCATTTTAAGTTAACAGGATACAACCTTCATGAACTTGAGATTTTTACTCTCAGTTGACGAATAATGTCAGGTTAAAAAGTTGGGCCTCAATGTTATAAATCGTAAGGCAAAAATGAATTTCAAGATTGAAGCAACTAACATTCAAGAAACGCATCCTTGGTGAGAAGAATGACTAATTCTTCGTTAACAATGTTAAAATAGAAGGCTGCTAAAAACTGTCCTTCAAGGGACCAAATTCAAGAATCAAAGTTTTAGGCCCGAGTTCCTCTTCCAAAGTCAATAATATATCGGCATACTAATAGTAATCATAACAAGCCAACTGCAGTTATTCATCCAAGAGCTAAAAAGTATCCTGACAGTCAACCTTATAAAAAGAAATGGAATGACCCTCTAACTGAAAATTAGATGCTATTGTTGATTGAAGACTTAAACATGTAAGACCGGGGGAGAACACAGAATATATACTTAATTATAGGCTTAGAAGCACCAAACACAAACAAATCTTTAAGATTGAGGGATGGCAGAAATAAATAGTAGCAAACACAAAACCTTCGAGCAATCATACTACAAAAGTGTAACACCAGACCAAGTTGAAAGATGCTAGTATAAAGAAAAGGTTACATACTTGGGCTGAGGCAAGAATCTGGAAAGGGGCAAAAGCTTAGCAGGATCAATGAAGAACTTATCCCCAGCTGAATAAGAGGAGGCAACAATCCCTTCCATCATCTTAATTGAAAAGAACTGCACCAAAACAACAATCAAGACAAACCATGTGGGGTACACAACAACTGCTTCAGCATAAAGGTAACAATTTTACAATAAACACCAAAGGGAAAAACCATTTATCAATGGGCCAATTAGAACAAAGCACGAAAAAGAAATGATGTATCAACTCAAGTAAAATAACAGGAAAGGGGATTAGTGGGGAAAAAAAAACTCACGGATTCATTGATGGGTCCGAAAATCTCATCAACTTTGCCAATCTGGGTCTTGTTGTGAAGGTAAATAGGGGCATTAAAGTATGGTATTTTTTCATTGGTGAGCTTAGTGACAGCGTCCCCCTCACAAGCATTCACAAATACAGAAACTTCTGCACGTTTTCAAAAGACAAATATAAAAAGGTGAATACAACAAAGTGGGCACGAAGAGAAAGGAGATTAATTAGAGGAGGGAAGAAGAAGAAGAAGAAGAAGAAGAAGAAGAAGAGAATCTGACCTACGACTTCAGCCGGAGGGCCTTCATCACGAGGGGGTCCTCGACCGCCAAAGCGACCGCCTCCACCTCTGGAGCCGAAACGACCACCGTCTCTGCCTCCCCGGAATCCTCCACCGCCGCCACGCCCTCTGGGAGGCCTCATTGTTCTTTGGGTTATGCTTCTTGCGGTACTTACTCTCCTAATATAAATGATGACAGAGAGAAAAAACAGCTGCTTTGAAGGGAAAGGGTTTAGGGTTTTGATGACTGACCTTTTGGGGGGTAAAACTAGGCTTTTACTAATTTACCCCCCGGTCTTTCTCTCTTTCTTTCTTCTGCTTGGGAATACTACATAGGCTAACTAATATTAAAAAAATAATAATACTAATAAATAAATAAAAATGTGCTCTGGTAAGGTAGTTATGGGCTCCGGCCTGGGCTTACAAAGCCGATTGGCCCTAAAGTTACCTATATTAAGAAAATACAAACAAAAATAATACTACATTAAGATTGAACCCTCAAACTCGCGACAGATAGATGACGTCTAACTGGCTAAATTTTTCTTAACATTTTTCATCTTTTCAGGATATTTATTGAGACACTGATTTAAATTTCACTACTCATTAAGATGTAAAAGGTGATATAATAAATGCATAAAAGAAAAAAAAAATTGAAGAAATCATAGAGAAAATTACTAACTCCACCTTTGTACTTATCTTTCTCTCTTTCAAATATGTGAACTCATTCTTTAATCTCACTCCCAATCTTTTTCACCTGTTGAGAATTTGTTTTCTTGACCCACTTTGATCTAATCAGTCTTCTATCCATTTTTATCAATTTTATTATGGAAGTGGAATTACATGTTAGTACTTTAGTACTATTACGCAACATCAAACTCTCTATTTTGTGAAGAGAGGCCCAACCCGTTCTTACAGTGACAGGAAACTATCAGATATGGGTCCAAATCAGAAGCCTCGTTCTGGAATGGGTTCAGCTGAACAGCTTCAGTATTTGAGCCAACATCTCATTGTAAGTTGTAACAACAAGTGTAAGAAAATCAGGAAACAACGAAATGTAGTAATCCATGTTCATTGAAATTCTTCTAATCTAACCAAAGTGGTCGTGGTTGAGCATCCTTAACTATACGTCGAGGGTTCGAACCTCGTTATGGGCATAACATAATCTTAAATATTTTGATCAGCTGTCCCATTCATCGAGGTGCCTACAATTCAGCAAAGGAAATTAGTCACTGTTGCCGACGATGAACACCCTACAAATATTTTTAAAAAAATGAGAAAGAAATTCTTCTAATTTGCAATTTAATTAGTAAATCTGAAGATTACAAGAAAACCCCATACAGGAAAAAAGAGAGAGAGAGAGAGAGAACAAGAGTATCATACATGATACTTCGTATATTGCTTTGTATATATTCTTCGTTCCAAAAAAATAGTCCAATAAAGTGTAAAATAATAATATGACCGCAACAGGTTTGAACCATATAAATATATGAAATTTGTCAACGGAAAGTATAAGTAGTAACAATGTCTAAACCTGAACCTACTCTTCATCCTTTTGTCAACGGAATAAATAACCACAAGAATAAAAACATTCTCACTACTACTATATATCTATCCATCTATCTATATCTATATTATACTGACAAAGAAACCAGAAAGAAAAACTAAAAAAAAATTTCTAAAGTGACATATTGGATAAAATCTTATATGGCAATTTCTCAAAATTCTGAGGAAAAAAATTTCATCATTTAGTTAATAACCCCTAAAAATATTAATTATACATATTAGCACATTCACTACATTTATCTAAAGTAATTAATATTAAATGTGTCCAATAATTTTTTATCTTTATTCCAAAAATCAAGGTAAAAATTAATAATCCATCCCATATTTTTGGTGCAATTAATTAATAATAAATCACTTATAGAATATAATTAAATCATTTATTACTATATTTTGAAATTCAAAAGTTGAAAATCATCAAGATATCTTGAAAATTAATTCTCTATGATCTAGCATATTATTGCATATAAATAACTCTATGATTACTTCAAGCCCTTGGGTTTCTGCTTCAAAAACCATTTCAAATGTGTTGTGAACTACGGTTAGTTTAACTCTGAATTTTTTAATACCGATTTTTTTGTTTAATCTATTTGTACTTTTGTTCATTGAATGATAAAATTACGGGTTTGATATTCAATAAACGCCCTTCATCTTTTTAATTTATTTTATTATTGTTATTATTATTATTTTTGTATAAAAGGGACAAATCAGTCAGCTCTCTCCAATTCGTTAATGTGAATTTAGTAGTAGAAAAGAATCTCCATATTTTGATTCAAAATTTTGTACTATCGAGAAGAATATTATAATTGGTTTTTCTTTTTTGGAAAATCAGGCATATAGATGGCTTGTGTTGGCATACATGTTTAAAGACTAAAAGAAAGATCAAAATGAATCACAACGTGAGATCATCTTCTTGGCTTCCTTTACTTCCATGATTTTTTCAGGACATTCTATTGAGTTTAAATGATTGCTAATTTTCTAAAATTTTTAGATTATATTGTATAGTGTGTACAGGTAAAGAGCAACAATGATCGACCCCGACCTTTACCCCCAAAGAAAATAAATATAGTCACAATCTGATGACAATTCATTAACACTTCAAGAGTGTTAGACCCCAATTATATTTATTTATTTATTCATTTTTTTGATGAGTACAGACCACATTAATTAGTTCAACATCGAACATAATTGAAACTCCCGGGGATACAATCTACAAGAACTCACAATTGAATAATCATTAATGGCAATTGGAATTACGTTTTGTATAGAGAATATTGCTTTTCCCAAGTATTAATTTTCAATTTTTAATATACTACTCATTCAGCGTGATTTTGTGTTTTGGATACTATTCCCTTTTTTAAACAATACTTTTTAGAAAAGTGAAATCTTTTTAGAGCAATTATGTATTGATTTTACCTTTAAATCAAGCAGAAGAAAAAGATATTATACCTAATAATTGGTTTAAAACCCTTATCTAATTATAACATTACTTTTACACAACATCACATCATACAAAATTTTCATGTATATTTCTTTGATTTTAAAATGACTATGGTAAAGATTCACTTCAGACCATGCTCAGTTTATCATTACAAAGATGCATAAATCATCTTATTTTATGAACTATACAGAAGGATCCTAAGTATTTGATCTTTATCTTACTTACAAAACCTTATCAAAAATTAAAAAGTTAAAAGATAAATATCCTGCCAATGATAATTTCATAAAATTTTGATCCTCTGAATCATATCAAATCATGGAATTTCATTGTACATGGAAAAGATTAAAAAAAATGATATATTCCCATCGAATTCAAAAGGGAAATAATTTCCTAAAAAAAAAAAAGCAAGTTGCTTTAACTAATTTGCGAATTACTCTCTTACTCCTAATGCGATTTATAATATATTCATACGGTTCGATATAATAATATGAAACAATTCAATGTATATTCTTAAACGATCCTTTTTATCTATTTCATCGTAGTGTCGTTTTCTCTACCATTGTTTCGTCCATTTATGAAGCCAACTATCCATATATTTCCTGTTGGTAAACATAACTATTTCTTGATATTTATTGTGTTTATAGAAAAGTAATTTGTCATACATAAGTGGTTAAATTTTACCGGTTATATAATCATTTTATTATACTATGTATCATTGTTTTGAGTGTAATAATATTAAACGGTGTCAGAATTCTTATACAATATAACACACTTTTTGAGGTTAAAATACAATTAATGTGAATTTATGATACTACTAAAAATATTTCATTTTATTATACTTTTACAATGTGAACTAATACAGTAAAAAATTGAATAAAAACATAATATTAACAGTTCATGACATTCTCACAATAGTGTATATCTTTGTAGATGCTCCAATCATATTTATTAATATCTCATGAAAAAATAAACGTGAATTTGTTCATCTAGAATTATAATAGTGTAATATAGTTTGTGAATAAATGACGGAAAAAGAGACTACGAAAAAGAAGAGTTGAGGGCCAAACCTTACTTTTAAATTGTCTGTTTCCCACCCTCTTTATTCATTCACACTCCTAAATTGCTAATAAATAATTAACTAAAAGTAAGGTTGAAAGTTGAAATTATGCATATAAAAAATTAGTGAAGTTTATTTAATTATTAGTAGTAGTAGCAAACAAGAGTTAGGTCTTAACCATCAGCACCAGCACAGAGACCAAATAATGAAATAATTATTAATAAAAAGTTGGAAAAACAACAAATAGTAATAAATAATTAGATTGTGAGACGTGCGGGGCACAAATGCAAAAACAACAAATAGTAATAAACAGTTGGAAAAAGAAGAGGATAGACGACACCAAATTTAAATGTGTGAAAGGGGAAAAAGATACGAGTAGAAAAATTCATGTACGTATAATATAATATGCAATTATGCATTGGTTTTTGTCGGCTGAGAGGTGAAAATGAGAATCATAATGTGGTGGATGGACCTCTACCTAATTGAAATCATGCCCATCCAAGTACTTAATTCAATTATAATATATAGTATTATTATTTGGACCCCCAAATTAAGTTCCCTGCCCCTTTTTTTTGTGTTGGGGGATTGGTGGATTACAGAGTACTACTAATTAATAACTCACATTCATGATCAATCCAACTTGATGTTTTGATTTTGAGCTGACCGTTGAACCGTAGGAGATAGTTTTCCCCCATCAAGTAGTTAGTGCAGCTGGTATTGATATATAACTTCATTTATATTTTGATGTAGTAAATTGATCACATTCTTCTCTTTAAATTAATTAGGTTCTATTCTATACATTCATGTGTTTACGAGGTATCTATTGACCTATGAAATATACCAAATTGTAGGCACCATGAAAGACAATGGATGGATGGCATATCTGTAACGCACCAGTTACTAGCTCTATCCCGATAACTAGTTGCGGGTGTTCGTTTTCACTGTGTCCAAAATGATTAACCCAAGTTACCAATAGAACCAGCAGTTTGAATTTATATACTGATCACCACCTTCAACCATCCCCGACGTGGGAGTCGTTTCACCAACTTGCTTGACATGCAAAGCTTGGCTTCGGGTCATCACAA